CCTTTTCTATTTAAGGGAAAACATGTCGGTATTATGCTTTCAAGCACAAAATAGAGCACGAATTTGCAAACAAAAGATAAATTAAGCGGCAAACTCTCTAGGCAGGCATGATGGTAGGGTACTCACGGCCCCTCATTCGTTCTTACTGTCAAACCCGACGATGGACTTAGAAAAGGGAAGGATTCCCAATTATTTTGTACGCTCCAAAGTAAGCAGCCAAGCCCCCATAATCTGCTTTGACAGAAGAAAAGGGTGGATTCCCTTCATTCTTTCTATATCGTTATGGTGTGTGGAACAATGACATCTCACCGCATAGGCCAGAATAGTCTCACACTGAAGCAAGAAAAGAACACCATTTTGTTTCATCTCGATGTCTCCTGGCTGTTCCTCATGAAGCAGAGAAAGAAAGCATTCATCTGCTGTACTGGATCATCTGGTGGTCTCGCGCATTTTTTGCGGGCACAGCAAAGCACAGACTGCCCCGTTGATCACAGTTCAGCTAAATGTTCTGGCCTGTTTAATCTGCCGTTCCATATGCAGTTCTCCCCTCCTATTTCGAGAACATTTTCACCGCTTCTTACGTCCTCCAAGCTGACTGATGATGAACCGTGCTCACTGCGGCCTCAAATGCTTGTCACCCGTGGGTTTCATTGTACAGCATGAAGCGGTAGAGTACTATCTCATCTGAGAATACAAGCAAAATAATCACATGTCTCAACAGATATGTAAGTCTTGCGTGGCAAAGGATCGATTTCTGACCGCTGATTCGCAGAGTGGCAGTGGGAGACGAGTTTGGAGGTGTCATCCGGGCAGAAATGCGGTGTACATAGGCTTCGTCATAAAGTTAATCCTTGTAGATAGAGCACAGTGCGTCGTGAGGAGGTGAAACCCTTGAAAGCAGTAGAGGGTGGTACCGAGTAACGGATGAGGCAAAAATGTTGGAGGTGTCTGGATCCCATGAACTCTGGAGCATACGTCATTGCTAGAGTGGGCATCACTTACAGTTATTTCTCATGCCCTCATCGTTCTACTTCTCGGGCCGTACTAAACCACTTCTATCTCTTTTCCCCTCCCTCTTAACTTGCGCTTGTTGGAATAACGATATTACGTGAGATACAGAGTTTTCTTTGCAGCATTTTACTTTTGGGGCTGCATTAAACGGATAGAGGTGAATTGTTCGCCTGTAACTTTCACGAATAAAGCTTCCCCGACTGCAGCACTACCGGGACAAAATAACACCCACTTCCATGTCGCTAGCTCGAGTTGTAGGAAAGCCACGACCCGCGCACAGGTAGCACAGGAGTTTTAAAGCGACCGATAATCGCCCCTGCGACATGAAACTCCTCTAACCAGCTCATGGCCTGCGTATTCTAGAGTAATTACTCGAAGACCCAGCAAATCCAACCAAGCCCAAATATAAGGTTCTAGGAGTAAGATGCAAGTTTGTAAAACTAAACAACTTCGTTTCGATTACGTATTTAAGAAGTCGATGACTTCATTGCCTCAAATTCCGCCAAATTCAGTTCAAGTCGGGAGACCAAAGGACCGAACTTGACAGATACATTTTGTGTAATGGAACACAAGCATTTTCGCGCCTTTGTATGCCACTGCTTGTCTGGAAACACCGAAAGCGCACGCCATAGACGGCGTAGTCTCTACTGATCGTTTGGGCTGAAAAAGTCGACGTCGTCCATCATAACAATCATACACCACTTCTTCCTAGTCTCATAAAAGTCCCAATTGACTTGCCATTGCAGTTGCGCTGGGCTATTAACAAGAGCAACTGGCATGAAGATATACTCGATTTGGCAAATGTCAGTTTTTGAGGTCCATTTGTGCCTGTCGCGGGGGTGAAAGGATATATATTAGATGGGGTCTGTGATACCGTGTGCACGGTAGACTGCTGATCCTTGAATCGTGTTCCGCAATTAGCTTCTGAGGCAATGAAAAATTCTGCTTTACACTAAATTTGTTCACGACTGGAAATAACTGCACATGCCCCACATTTTGTCAACTTCCAGCACCAACACATGATTCTGCCCAGAAGCATTGGCCACGTCCTGCGTTTTGCCTTTTCTGGACAAATTGGCGGCCTACCACCCTTTTGCTCACAATGTGGGGGCTCCAAACACCAATGCACATGGCTTGCAACTGACCCGGAGGTTAGCTCAAAATGGTGCGCTAGGTGACGAGCAGATTTGGCAACTCGTCATACTTTAACACACGCGAACGCCTTCTTACGATTTGTATGCTCCACTGTTCATTGCCTTAAAGTTTCATCAAATCTTGTAATCAAGGGTCAGTACTAAAGGGAGCTGCATTGCTAAAACTGTCTTGTCTTATCGCTCTTTCGACCCGGCAGGATGAAGACTCTGCCTCACCCTGTTGAGGCAGCCAATCAAGCCCACTTATCACAGATGGAAAGCGCACTGCTAGGAAGAGCAGGAAAGATTTGTTCTAGTTCCTCCTGGCACACTTGTTGCCAAAGAGCGCAGCCCTCGGTGCATTTGTGCCTTCCATAGGGTCACTCATGCTGTATCTAGGATTTGTCATGATGAGCTGGTCCAACATAAGAATGACTGGGTACGCCAATTTCAGCACGTTCCAATGTAAAGTGGTATTCAAGTGCTCTTGAGTCATCGTGGCTTGCGTTTTGCAGCCCGTCAGCGAACCTGAGCATTTGGGGACTGCGTGAACGAGTGAAGACGCAGCTTGCACTTCTGCGACGTCTCCTCCTCGTATAACAGATCCACTGAACTTCTACTGTTAGCACAGCAAGCAATATATGACTGGACGTGACCCGTGATAGGTCCGCAGGTGTGGCCCTGTTTTCTGTGGCCCCCTTCATTGCACTGCAGCCGACATGCAGGGCTTTCCGTGTCCCTGATACGCCAAGCCACCTGATTCTTCTTGTCCAAGTTCCTTCGGAGAAGGTCTTTGGCCTTTTGCATGCGCTTACAGTCCGGGAAGAGCCACTTTTTCACAGCTAATGTAGGTACGTTCTCGAAAGGCTCTCAGGCTATATCCCAGAGCGTGGGAACCCTCTTAATCTTTTCCCGCTTACCGTAAATGGTAGGCTAGGATAGCCTGATACAGGTCTGACATTCATGCATTCTAGACCATGAATGTGCTCTTCCTTTTCGGGCGAAGACACAATAATTGAAATTGTGAGATCCTGAAAACTTAAAACAGTTCCTCATTTGTAGAATGCCCTTCTGTCGGTTGTGTTATTGCTGAGTCACTGCCCGCTCTAAGAACATCTGATGTGACTTTTCCGATACACTCGTGATAATCCACTGACAAAGCAGCTCTTCATTTGTGCTGTGGCATTCCCCAACTAAGGTTTCGTGTCTCGTGTCTCTGTATATGCTTAGCTGCTGATGAATTCCCTTACTTTGGCCATATCAGGTCTCAATGCTCATTGTGGGGCTGATGTTGGCATAGCCCACAAATCAGCGCTTGTATGAAGCCTATAACTGTAAGAATTCCTACATGCAGGCGAATTTCTCTACGTGAATAGGGCCAACATTGATGTGTTCTTGCTCCAACAGGGCTGCGCAAAGGAGCACTCGTTTCTCGTCATCTGGAGGATACAAAGCGAGGAAACGCCTGGCCGGCTGGACGAATTTTTGCGCAGTTACCCATCCTTGGGACCAACAGACTTAGCTTGTCGGTATGTGAGTCAATGGTGCGTCCATAAACAGCTTGTATGCTCAGCCATCACATCTTTTTACCAGCTTCGTAGCTACTGGGTTTACATACGCGTGCAAGCCGGCTACTGCCGCCCTGACAAGCAGTGCACCGCCTGAAACAGGTGCCCTTGTGCACTTGTTTCCAAAGATATAAATTCATTGAGCCACGAAATCACTAGGTGGGGAATTGAGAACTGCTGTAGAGTTTTTGCAACCCACTACATCCACAGCTAGCTAATGAGCGGTAAAGGCCAATTCGAACCAAGGCATCAGCGGTATCCGTGAGAAAACGCTCAGTTCTACATTCAACACAAAGGTTAGACATTTATGGAGCGTTCTTGTGGAATAGCTCTCTCCTTTTCTAGCCCTTCGCTTTCAGAGGTCCGACATAAGGAGAAAAGAACAGCTAGAGTGAGGGTAGCTGCACCCTCCACGCCCTCCGAGCTGTCACAAAAAGATGCACATAGCATTTAGCCCTCATGCACCCTAGGAAGATTATTATTGTAAGTCTCCCCTTGTGATGCAATAAATAAGACCATACAAACAGCGACAGCTTCACAAAGCCTCAATTAATGATGCCAAATGTGGCAGAAAGTGCCCAAGTGTAGCACAGCGCTTTACCCACACACTTCTTTAAATAAACTATGCGTGAGAAAGACACTATGTATAGGCATACAGCAAACGCCTATACAGTCCTCCTCATGTGCGCACTATATGGAGTCTAAACCATCACAAGGAACCGCAGTTCATATGAAACAATGTTTATGTCATCGGTAGCATCCGAATCGTGGCTTTGCAGCCGTGGTGAATTTGCATGAAGTGAAAGTCGTTCCTGGGGGCGTACTTGTCTCCTGCTCGTTCCCGAGGTGCTATCGTTGCCAGTAACTGTAAATGTTAGGTGTTTACAGGCGATATATCGAGTAAAATGATATATTAATGTTTTCCTCTTTCCACTAGACATGACTCAATCCTAATGGCTAGGCAGCCTGATAAAATCTTTAAAATTATAGTTTGCGGCTTTTTCCAGGACCTACCGTGAGCATGACTTAATAAGTATACGGCGCATTACGGCAGATTCACGGCCTACCGCCTTTTACAAAAACGATATTGGAGCCTACCAACACTACCACTGATCAGCAAAATAATTTGCACTCAAACGGTGTATTGGCAGTTCTTGGTTCGAGTGCACAATGCACGGTCAACTGCAAGATTCTCAAGCAGTACAATTGACGTGCGCCCTGATGTGACCTACAGTCACTCATTGCAATGCAAAATGCCGTTTTCAACCGCATGAGGCAGTCGCATCAATTATGTTGAACTGCCGCGCGGCCGGTGGGGCTCTTGCCTTCTCACTGAAGAATCTAGGGTGCCCATTTCCCCAGTTACAGAAGTATCAGCTGCTTCATCCTCTCTTGCTTGCATCAATGCAGGATGTTGCTCGACCATTACGCGAGAACCCTTGTGGTCAAGCTCAAGGCGGACGGTCACATTCATCGAGGCCAGCTCATTTGACAAGTAGCTGCAAGAGCACAACAAACACAAACCGGATCCCTATGCGCCTAAGGTATTCTGGAACTGTGTGTGTTGATTCGGGGTTGAAACTCGTGATCCCTATTTATTAGCTTCACCAATGCTCACCGAAATATGTATGGTAACTGCACAAGGCGGCATGGAACAAAGCAAACGCGACAAAGAGGAACTGGCTTCTTCCCCCCTACTGAACGTCCCTTGGAATCAGCCGATTGAGCAGGCGAAAGAATGCTGCCGCAGCTAGGGCAACAAAATGCGCGATGGGAGTCTGAACACTGAGTGAACCAAGCAAGCGCATATTTAAGCAAAAATATTGGCACAAATCACGCACAAAGTCTGTCCAGTGAAGAAAATAGCGCAACGACATTTTCTGACCAGATAACGCTATTGGCTACGTACATGTAACAGTCTATCTTGGAGCAGAGCGGCAGCACCGTGAGCAATAAGCGCGTCACGTTCCATCTCCCCAAATCGTACACCACCATGGCGCTTGCGTCCTTTCACTGGCTGATGCGTGAGGGCGTCGATTGGGCCCGTCGCACGCACCTGCGCCTTGTCCGTTACCTGTTTAGCAGCAACATGAACATCCAAGGATCAATTCATAAAGATGTCTGCATGATGGCAGGGAAGGATGCTGTATGCTGTGCACAAAGTCAGAAGAGCGTGGCGGTTCTGCCAATGTTATTTGCATTGCATACCATGTGCCTCAAGCGCTGGTAATAAATCAGGCCTGTGAAGATATGGCATGTGAGAGGTACTCCATAGACCCCGCTATAAAGTTCCTCCCTTCCATAGTACTGATAACCTGATAGCGCACATATATAATTACACCAATACAATACTACATTCAACCCACGCAAAGAAGTGGAAAGGGCATCACAAAGAGCCGGTCGGAATTGAGCTACGCCCGTAAGACGCTTGTTTAAAAGAGTATTCATTAAGCGTTGTTAGTTCTCCATAATATGAGATAACTAGGACTCCTGCGGACCTGAGGCCAAAAGTGCCTTGCCAAAGTAATCCACTGGGGTGTCGCCCTGTGCCTCAGCAATTGCTTCCTCTTCAGGAGTGCGGTAGCGCTCCCCGCGCAGTACGTAGCCTACAAGAAGCACGCGACCAGCGCATGAATTACTAGAATCTGTGTATGCGCAATGATAAAGATGCAGTACACATATCGCGGCAATTTTGTGCACGAACCGAATAATTACAGCATGGAGAGCACCTACCGTGGTGGCCTTCTTGATCAATCCATCTATTTCCAGTTTTCTTCTGCTTCCTAAATTCCCGAAATGCGGTTGCGTCCTGCGGGGTTTACAGACCATTATTAGAGCTGCCGGCGTTGTTCTAGGTATTGCTAATTCGATGGCCAATAGAGAGGGTCGCACGGTTAGGCATAAACTTAAGCTGCTTGTATCATTCATTAAGCAGGTGTAAAGAAGTATGTTCAGGAGCATTAGGAAATCCGTATCAATGCTATTAATCACAAAGCATACCTGAAATGCTCCGTGAACTGCGGCAGCTTTGCCTGCCATACTCTCGATAAGCATTCCAATTGTCATACGACTTGGGAAGCCGTGTGGATTAAACAAGATATCTGGGACCAGTCCAGACTCCTGCATGAGTACGTGCATCGAGATAAAGCTATCAAGAAGTCAGGTGTAGAAATGCACTGCCTGTTAAGATCACCAATGGTCCAGCAAACATAGTCTAGAAAAATACCACCCAGAAATTTGGTGAGTTGTAAACTGCTTACGGAAAAGGGCATGTCCTCTTGTGGCCAGAGCATAGACAGAATGCCTTTCTGCCCATGTCTAGAGGCGAATTTGTCGCCAATAATAGGCTTGCGTACACTCCGAAGGCGGACAGAGGCTCTGCACCCCTTAAGCCCTGTCTTCAAAAAACGTTCCTCTGCAGGTGCTGGAGCGGACGATAAGGTAATGCCATCCACATACGCTGGCTCGTCATCCTTGTAGAGGGTCGCTTGCGCTGGCACTTGGGCTGCGCTCGCCTGCGTGTGCCTCTGCACCCTACAACATAAAAAAATGACATAAACTGCAGCGGTGTTTAACATTGAATGAGCTATCGCATTCACTAGTAACCGCGGCGACAAAAACCCTAGTGACTTGGTCATACGCGGTGTACGTTAGCGTTCGGCAACAGTACATTCCTTCTCTCAGACAGTTATGAAAACCAATATGGTGCCTCTATCTACACCCAGCTTTATAGAATTCCTGGTCAGCCCATCTGGTACCTGCAAAGAGTCTTTCCCTGAGTAATCTTTGCACCTATCGCCGGAAAACCGTCAGCGTCGAGCGACGGCACACATTTCTGACCGAGGTTGCTTATATTGCTGAATTGATACTCCTCGGCCTCTTGCTGAAATGGCAAAGAGCACAACTGTTAACACCATTTCCAATAAGACAAGATATGCCCCACATAAGGCCAACGGTCGAGTTTGCCGTGATTTTCTAGCCATCCCGCGCATGCAAAGGTACTTAACGCCATCGACCCACACATGACAATTCTCGGGGAGTTCTACCAAAGCTAGACAATCACTAGTGAGGCACTAGGTCCACTGAACCTGCAAGTACAATAGGCCAACACAGGGAAAGGGCTCTTCTCACCGCACGTGCACCACTTGGAGCAGCATCAATAATTTTGGTTTTGTAGACACAGCCGTGAAATAATCCCCTCTCAACAGACGATTTGTTAAGAATCATGGCATCTTCCATATCAAAGCTGCATGCACCAGCAACAAGAAACAAATATTTGCCCAAACACACTAGAAGAATCAGCAAACACGACATAGTGTGAAGATAATGATGGGTGACTGGGAGCGGGCATACAACAATGTCAAAACGGGGGCGGGGCACAAGAAAATTACCCAGTGTAGCACATGACAGCAACAACTGCGTTAACGCCAGTCGGGTAATCATCGAAGTCGAAATGACGGTAATCCCGAGTCCGTAAGAGAGGCTTCTGCGGAGTTATCAGACGGTAAGCTTTGTTATCATGCCTGTAAGGAATGGAGTGGAACGGGGTCCCCATAGTTTGCTTGAGCATTTGACACTGGTAGATATTCCTGCAAAAAAACACTCACATTCTATGGCAGTTATTGCGTGACATCACACCTCTTTGCCCTACACTTAAACGATCTAGCAGAGAGACAGGCAATATTTATGCCTTCTCTCAAACATATCACTTGTATATTGTGAGCGGGGTGTAGCAGCACTAGGTCCTGCAGCTAGTTTGCACCTAGGGTTTGTGCATGTTATGCTCGCGTCCCACAAATAAGCTTCATGGACTAAATTAGATCGGCGTGCACGTACCTGGGGCTTTGATTGTGGTTGCTGAATGGGGTCAGGGACGCCGTAACGCTGAGGAATGCAGTTGGGCTTAACTCAACGTAATCGTATGCCAGAGGCACATGGCTCGTCACAAGAGCCTCGCGAGCTTCTTGCATATCACCGATATTTCTGGGGTCGTTAGTTCGCTTCCTGTCACGATGCTCCTCATCAAGCAACGACTGATACGCGTCCGCCAGCCGCTCTTGATATGTTTCGTCCTCTAATTCCTAGAAAAGCACAAATGTGTAGACGAGATGCTGCACTCACTGGACGGGCCCTGGCTCTAGGCACTATAGTTTAAGTAGCTTGCAGCTTTGATAACCAGTTCACCCATCACCGCAAGCGTATGCTAACTACATTGCCAGCAAGGAGGAGACGTCAAAAACAATACGCTGTTACGACTTTTGATGCAAACCTCTGCTGTTGACGAGCGTGCGCTGTGTTCCCGCAGGAGTTCTCTTATTATAGGGACGTGGGCTTTGAACGAGCGCTCGTTCTGGGCCACATTTCTGTCGCGACACGCGATGGACATCCAGGGTTGCTGTAAAGGCCCGATAAATTCAACACTGCTCAAAGACGCAAACGCACATAAGATCAACTTTGTGGGTGCGCGCGGAGTGGCCTCCGACAGATACGAATGCCCATCTCCCTCGCAGGCAAATATCGCGAAACCCGTAGTCTCTGTATCGCGAGCCCGCTTGGCTCACCGCCCGCTTGCCAAATGTTTAACTGGTCGAACAAGCCGACCAGGCATTGTGAACAAGAAAATGCCTTCAAACTGCAAGCTGCATACAAAAGAGCCCTACGCAGCAAATGTTCTTGCATACACACCCGCACAACCTTTTAAAATGTTTCCACTGCGTATATTTATTATATACAGCAACGGCATGCACGACAATTGGTGAGCTCTTTCGCGGGCTGTTGATCAACCAGTAAGAACAAGGCCAGTTACATGATTTGCACTTGCCTATCCTCATCGAATCCAACTAGCTCCCAATGGGTCTTGAAGCCCTCCAAGCCACAGACTTTCGCATGCCATAGCTGCTGCAGCCAAAACTTGAACTCGCTCTTGCGAATCTTGCAAACGACAATGCCGTCGACAACCAGCGGTACACATTTTGTGCAGCCACTGCCTCCATGATCAAGAGCCCTTTCCCCCACAGCAGCTCCCAGGTCTGCGGGGGGCAAGCCTGACACGCCCTCGAGATCCACGCACATCCCGCGGGCTTTCATAAAAAGCCGGACCGCCGCTACTGCCTGCACCGGAAAACACGCAATAACAGGAGCTCCAATGTTCTCCTTTACGTCTCATGCACTACCGCCCGCTGTAATCCTGAAGACGGAGAAGGCTCGTACTGTTTTGCACGGAAACAGAGCCTTCCCCTTACAAACTTCAGTGGCGTCTACCCTTCTTTGGCTGACATAGCGCTGACTTGCTCTTAATCTCACCTCGCGGTCAGGTGGAACCGCTACTGGCTGAGCCATCTGTGCCAAATGCAACAAAAGTCCGCAAGGTGCACCATCCGGCGTATGGACAGGGCATAAAAATCCCCAGCTCTCCCCCAAAAGCTTCCGAACCTGCACTCAGACAGCGCACCACAAAACGTCACAGGAATGCCTTCTACACTGGCTAGACGGGTGCAGAATCTTAAAAGACAGTGTACGCTATGGTATCACACTACCGGAGAGTATCCTGGAATAATGAAGAACTTCCTGGCAGTTAGACCAATTTTAAAAGCTCAACATACCGCTGTTGTCTTCATCTGTGCGAAGAACTGGCCACGATGCACTGCTCGAAAGTGACTAAGGAACCGGTTCATATTGAGACGATCAGCGGTCACGGTCCAGCCTGAGAGCTGTCCAAAGGCGTAGAAAAGAAACCAACAGGCATATACATAAGCAGCTGCGTGCATACTCACGGCCTTCATCCGTGAGTCCCCATTTCGCAGCGCAGGGCACAAAGCGATTCTGAGCTGTCGCCTACCTGCTGCAGATCTAGTTGCGTCGTGCGAATATTGCCAGTGGCCATAAAGTAGCTTATCTTATGCCCTATTTCCGATGCACAGCGGTCAGTGGCAATGTCGAAAAATCGGTTCGACGATATTACCAAACTTGTGTCATGGCCTGCTGCTTTTACCTGCCGCAACTCCTGAAGCAACCAGGACACAGACATTCTCCCGTAAAATGCCAAGATGAAGCCGACCGCTTCATTCACGCCTTGCAAAACTACGTGTCGGAAAAGGCTGAGTATTGGGACATGCCAAAACTAAAGCGCTACACCGACTTCTATTTCTGCTGCACGGTGCTTCGTACCACTGTATACTGCGTGCGGAGCTTTATCAGGGCCGTAAACAACGCATCTTTCAGCACTGACGCAAGTATCTGACCAGGAAGGACAACCTCCTGGTACGAGAAGGCATCCATGCTCTCTGGCTGCAAGTAAAGAAAACCAAAGTATCAACCAGTATACCATTGACTAGAAGAACTCCCGTACATATATGAACCAGCACCCAAAGAATGGTATACTTCAAAGTCCAGCACAAAAAGCTCACCGCTATTTTCCCGGCTCGCAACTGCCGCAGCTTCCTGAACATTAGCAAGAGAGTCTCGAATTTGCTTGCCCAATCCTTCGCATGTACGAGCACGTAGCGATTAATAACAAATCGGCCTGCATCTTCATAGGTGCTTCCAGGCTTGAGCAGCCATGACACGCCCCTCCAAAACACTTGGCCTAGCTGGTGTAATGGCTGTGTGCAAGGCACGCAGTACAGCAGGGGACGCTCATCCGCCGACAGCTGTTCGGAACGGCTACAGTGTCTCCATGATACGCCTTTGAATCTGAACTATTATTAACGGATAAAGCATGTGTATACAGCCTGCCTGACAGCTCACTCGATGTTCGGTAATGTCAGTGTCGACAAAATCTTTTTCGTTTCCCCATGTCTCCTCAAAAAGAGCATGCAGCTGCGTTGCTTCTTCAACGTCGTCCCATGACCCCTCCATAAACTTGAGCTTGAGCTGCTGTAGTGAGAGACCGCCACCAACGCAGCGAAGCAGTAAAAGGAAAGGACAAAAGTGCTCCTGCCTGTTTAGCAGAATGCGATAACAACACCGTCCATCGTCAGTGTCCAGCAGGATGTTGGAAGTGCAGGTTCCATCAAATCTGAACTCCACAATCACATGAAGAAGGTGCTTGAGTTTTTGCTCTAATTGATCAGCACACGGCCAAATGTCATCGTGCACTCTGTCAGCAAAGCCGCCAAGAGCACGCATGGGATTTCCGTGGCTTGCTATGCGCAGAAGCAAACGTTACTTCATCACGATCGATTCACCACATCCTATGTTACACGATATATGAGTATTGAAAGCTCGTCCAGCACCAGTAGACAATCAATGCTTACCGCTGGCTCCTCAAAAGGATAGCCAGATCAGTGGCGAAGACCTCGCGGTTCCTAAAGCTCTCTCTCTTTAGAGCTATAGGATAGTTCGTCTTCTGCTGGATGACGAATCGGAGCACACGTTCGTTGCCATTTATAATAAAATAGCCGCCAAGTTCATCCAAATCCTCTCCAGCCTTCACCATTTCCGTTGGACTCATGCCTGAAAGACGCAGCCTGGACTCTACGGTTCACAGTGCAACTGTGCTTGCCCAAAGGAAACAAACAGGCGTGCATAGCATTACAAAGCAGCTCATGTAACGCGCAAACGTTGCCTTAAAACGGTGCAACAGTTCCCTGGGATGACAATTACAGGTCACGTATCCCGTGCCAGAGGAGATCTACAGAGCCAGCTTAACCGACCTGAAAGGCTGCACCGGTTGCTTTTCACCATGACTGGCACCTGGCCTACGAGTATCGTCTTCTTCATGGCCACGTTGCTATCGTCTCCCGTTCGCCAACAGGCGAAACTGACTTGAAGAGGGGCTCCGTAAGTGATATGAGAGTCTCGGCAGTGACGCGGAAGCAAATGGTTGTTGTCATTTGATTTCAGCTGAACGTCCCCCATGCCCATCTTTTGTGGGACGCCTAGGACTGCCTCCGCAATTCCCAATTTGAGGTCTGCGTATCCACAAGCAGAAGAAGCAGAAGCAAGCCTACATCATGTACAGGGTCAAGGTGTCCGTTCCCCGTTGCAGGACGAGTAAGGCGCCACAACACCAGCAAGCGGCAGCTGCACTTCGAATGTGTGCGCAATACGCATACAGTCGGTTGGCTTGTAGTACGGGTTAGCTTCGTGGCGATCAGGATCAAAATGGGGGTCGATATAAATAAAGGGCAAGTCTTTAACCATCTCCTCGATGTAGCAATCCGCAAACGTATTGTAAGAGAGAATGTGCGGGTAGACGCACTGTTGCAGGGCTGCATTGAAGTGAGGACTCGGAGATGGGGATAATGGATTCAAAAGCCTGCCACGTGCCTCATGAGCATCAGCAGGCTCAGGATCCAGCTTCCCATGAACGGCAGCGCTGCCCCCCTCCGGAGCCTTCCGCCGTTTGCTCAACTGTTCTGGCCCCATCCCACCAGTGAGACTCAACGCGTGTTAGTTAGCACCAGCGGAGTGCATCAATGGGGGGAACAACCCCCAAGGGTCAATGAGCTCGCAAGGGGCCTCGGGCGTCGATGCAAGGCGGCACGTGAGCCTCCACATCCAACGAGCCCTATCGGCGTTAGGCTGAGGCGATCCACTGTCTGCCGCGACAGATTTGCGCTTTTGCGAGTTGCACTGCCATAAACAATAGGCGAATGCTGGAAGGCAGTGGGGTGCAACCATAGAAGAACTCCTGGGGTGCGAGGGGGCCTTGGGCAAGAGGACAGCAAAGTCGGCTAAGTCGTAAACTATACAGTAACCCATCGGTTTATTTAATGGAAAATGCCCTATTAAACGTAGTGGAGAGAATATCACGCCTTCTCTGTGTACATCTGTGTGACCGCATGCACCCAACCGATCGGTAACTCGATCCGCCCGACGCAATGAGAGTCTAGATACCGCTTTGCCTTTTTGCTGTAGTTCATTGCCAAAAAGGGAAATATGTTAGCACTTTCTGAAGTAGTACACTCCGGGTGACTGCTTTTGCTTTTCCCCACACCTTAGGACTGTTGATCTAAGTAGACTCACCCCGCTGATGCCTTTCCCGGTGAATAGGCTCCTTCAGTGTTCTAACAATTAATTCTACTTGCCTAGATGAGCTGCTGCGCCTGTGGTCTGACTTGAGGAGCTATACTGTACAACATATCCTCATGGTCAACATTGCGCTTCGTATTTTCCAGTTTTCAGCTGCACAGTTGCTACACCTTCCTTCCCAGTCCATCCAAATATTCGAACTCTGATCTGTATTACAAAAACATATCCTGATTGATATGCCATATTTAGCGCCGTGGGAAACGGCTTTGCGTCGAGTGGGTCTAGCCTAACCCCCCAGCACGTGAGCAGTACTGTGAGGATGAACAAAGAGGCTGCACGCAAACGATGCACAGGAAGGATACATAAGGCATATTCTCCTCTTGTGCAGCTTCGCTAAGTGCGGAGGATAATGTGAAGTAAAGTAGCGCAGTCAGAGAGAGAATCCACCTTGCTTCACTTAACTTGTGGCTACGAGCATGTATATTGTAGTGGGCTAAACTACACCTAAGTGCTTTCCCTTACATGAGATATAGATTTGTAAAGCTTCAAAGGCTGACTATTTGATTTAGCTAGGCTTATCGCTTATATACTGCAGAATATCTTTACGCTCACAATAATAATATATGTTTTGTGCACATGCGCCTTTTGTGCACATGCGATAGGTGCGCAGAGTGTCAAGCACGAATGATTAGAAGCGCTTAGAGTGTGCAACTACCCGACCTCTTGCTGTACCTCTGCCTCCATGTTCAGCCCCTGAGGGCCGAGAACACTTATCCTCGGAAACTTCTTTGAAAGAACAATCAATTACTTTGTGTAAAGCTTGTGTTGAGTTAAAAATTCGTGTGTGCCACAAGAAGCCTCAGTTGTAACGATATAGCTTATAATCTCGACAAAAGGCAGTAAGGAAACGGCATCCCGCTGCGTTCTGCAGTTGCGCAAGCTGCGTCATCACTCGTTCACGCCGTCCCCAAATGCCCAGGTTCGCTGAGGGGCAACAATAAGCAAACATTGACGACTCAGTGGCACTTAAATGCCACTTGGCATTGAAGCTTGCTCATACCAGCGTGTTTAGCTACTCCTATCTTGGACCAGTTCATCATGGCATAATCCTAGGTACAGCATGAGTGACTCTGTAGAAAGCACAAATCCTGCAACAGCTATGCGCTGTGGAGGCTAGTGTTCCAGGGGACGCTAGGAATAGTCTTTAGCTCCTCTCCCCAGCAACGATTTTCCATCTGTGATAAGTGGGCTTGATTCTCTGCCTCAACAGTGTGAGGCAGAGTCTTAATGCCGGCGGCTCAACACAGACATAGGATAATACAGTCTACACCATGCAATTTGTTTTGCTGCTCTTAGAAAGGGCTCTTTACTAGGGCATTTGATGAAAATTTAAGGTAGAGAAGAATAGTGAGAATGTAAAAATCTCAAGGAGGCGTCCACGCGTAAGTTAGTTAATGTTGAGTTGCCGAATCTGCTCGTCATCTAGCACACCGTCTTGAGCTAATCTCCGGGTCAGCTGCAAGCTATGTTAACCGGTATTGGAAATCCCCACAGAATGCGCAGGAGAACGGCAATCTGGTAACTTGTTGAGAAAGCGCATTGTGCAGGGATTAAGAAGCACGCTTGAGCAGGACCCCGTGTTAATGCTGAAAATGGATGGAAGGTGGCATTTGTGAAGTAGTTGCAAGTCGCCGAACAAGCTTATTGTGAAACAGGAGTTGCGGACGCTCCTTTGGCAAAGTACTCACACAACAAGGATCAGCAGCCTGCTCGACATCAATCCTCACTGCCTGTGCATAAACGTCATTTTACACTCCCGTTTACCCCAATGGCAGGCACAAAGCGTCCTTTCACACTCGCCTTCCCAAGTCAAGCATACCTATATGACATTTGGACCTATCAGCTAACTAGCTGAACTGTGACCGCACGCTGATCGGGGTACCTGATAGGCCTATCAAGGAGGGCTGAACTTCTGTCTACATGAACGACGTCGTAGCCTTAACAGCGTTCTAGAGCACTCACAACACCCACCGGGCGAGCTTTAGTTTTGGGGAGACAAGCAGTGTAACGCCCCAAGTACGACCTCGGGAGTGTTACACTTGTACCAATGGACACTCGATGAAACGTCTTTGAATGCTTGCCAAGGGCCGCTTGCCCTCTCTCACCCGCGCCCCTTGGAATTCATACATGGGAATAGAGAGACAGCCGGAGTGCGCGGAAGTGTGTACTCCAAACACACTTTGCATGCACACCTAGTTGTACATAGTATATAACACAGACGCACAAATTGTGCCTCTACGTCTCAAGCTATCGACGATTCACAATAAACGGGATGTACTGATATAATATCCCATCAGTTGATCTCTCATAGGCCTCATTCTTGGCTAAATACATCCAGACAGTAGTAAAAGGTATTCTGGTGTAACTTAGCCCGCTCCAACCAGCGATGTGTAGAGGCTTGCAATCGTTTGTTTCCACGAGGGCAATTGTTTTTAAGTAAGTGCTTCGGCTGCAGGAATGGCGCCAGATACGAAAAAATCTGGAGCAATCAAGACATCGTCTATACCAGTGCACAAGCTTAGCCGTGTGAAGTAATTACTTCCGAGCTTTCATGCTTGAGTGTGCTTGGATAACTGCTCCTTTGTTTTGTCGACTAAAGAAAATACAGTGTGCAACATGGAGATTGTAGGATGTGCCGCACACAGCACGCTTATCAGCCGCCTTACAACATAAGTACTGGCTGACCCCAGGTAAGCGCCTTTGCTCGCTAACAGCCGATACTAATGATGAACCTGCGTACTTTTCTTTCTTACTCGGCTGCTAATCTTCGAATATACCAGAGTATTGCTATCCGAGCAGCGGTATCCAGTGCAAGAGAGGGACTCTCTGCGGCGTAGTACGGCGTAAAATGTCTCGGTAGTATTTAAATGGGTTTCCTTCTACCATCTACATTGACCCATCAGTTTTTATTATACCTTATGCAAAAGTTTTAGTACCTGGACAACCCCAGAGTATGGTGGCTTCGGTGCATGCTGCATTAGGACTTTAGAGTGAAGTGTATTGAGGGCATCCACCGACGTGGTGGCCTACCCGCTCTTGGGTTGCACCAGTGGTTCCCTATTATGAACTGCGCGTAAACACTCTTGTCAGTAATCACCCACAGCTTCTATTGAAGTTGTTTTGATCGTATGCTTCTGGTACCCATGTATCCTCAATCACCACGATAATACAAAATGGCATTAAAGGGTAAAGCCTTGCAGCATTGCATATATCCTGTCATGGTTCACAGCAAAACGATGACACTGTCACTCGTCCATTCCGAAATCGCTCTTCGAATCATTTTGCGCAAAGCACCGAATATTACCTCTAGCCATGGTGCCCTCCACGCTACAGTCAAGATAGCTACTTCGTTGTAAACCCACCACCCAAAGTACCATCTACGTGTGTCTTGACGCTTCATGGATTTTCCAGGTGTATCGCTACGGACAGGTACCCAACATTATTAGTGCGTTCCTGCATGTCTTTTGAGCCGCCTATATATTGCCTTAATTTGGCCACTGCAAAGTAACCTGAGGCCAAGAGACGGAATTGCAGTGCCAACTGCTTGCTTCTACATTGTTTGAGGCTCCATGCTCACAAAACTTCAGTTGCGTGGCTTGATATTCGCTTTCTCGTGCTCAGTTGAATTTTAGACACAAGCGCATTCGCTAGGTGCTATCTGCAGGTAGCTGTTGACCAACAAAAATCGTGGGAATACACCCAACTTCAGACTGTCCAGACGAAATAAACATTTCTTGCTTGTTTCCCCCCCTCCGCTCCTCAAAAAACCCGCATTCTTCTGCCCGTGGCCAGACGCACCGATGTTAGGCGAGAGAGACAGCAAGGGTGCGCTTAGTTGCAATTTCGAAGGCCTCCAAGCATTTGCAGCTAATTGCACAAAACATCTAGCGCAGACGCACGTACCACTGTGACACCTTGTATCAAGCGCACGGAACTCCGCAATCAATGAGATGCACAAACAAGCAGAGCAAAATATGATCCTTGAGCTATTCTCTAGATAAATACAACTATTGTACGATAAAGTGCTGAGAGTCTTGTGTAGCCCTCACCGCGCCCTAGTGGTCACTCTTTCGTCAGGCCGGAACACCTAGCGGCAAGGAAAGAGAAAAGGGGACGCAATCTGGAAGGACACTCAATAGTTTTTCTATTAGGTCAGTACTAAGCCTAGAGTTGTCTTCCCACGGATCCCTTCAATGAAGCGTTCCCATGTACGCGGCACCTCGTATCGGGATAAGAGAAGTTGTGTGTCCAGCAGACAGGAGGAAGATTATCACAGCAACTCCTATTGCCAGTTATGCTAATTACTTAGATTCGCCTGCTTGAGTAGATTCGTCGGCTGTACACATGGGTTGGATGATGCAGTGGTTTGGTACGGGATAATGCTGTCCCCCGGTGGGATCTAGCGAATAAGTAGACAGTCAGTATGTGTTCATCAAAATTGTTAACTGTAATTGTATTCGGCTTTTGCCGCATGAAGCACACGAGTCTTTTCCTTAAAGGCCTCCGGACGGCTTCCACACACTCGTAGGTTAGGAAGCCCCAAAAGGTATGGGGCCGAACAAAATGTTTACGCCTTGTCACTTCTTGAAGGTACTCGTTATCCGCGTATTGTTTTAATGCGATTTGCAGCCAATCGATTTGGCAGATGCCGCTAGCTGCATCACACTCTCTGCTTAACTAGTCAAACTGTACACGAGAGCCCATTTACAACAAGGCGTTTTCAGATGTTCGTCATGCATGCAGTGTGAACCCTGCCCCTAGAGCACCGTGATATCATTAGAGTGCGCGAACACGCCGTCAATATTGTCACGGCTTAGTCGGAAGTCCAATAGATTGGCATCCCCTCGGAACTTCCGGGTGCTGATGGACGGGGGCAAGGCCAGCGACCGGTTGTCTTGACTCATAGCCCGCATTTCATTCTGCGGAAGTTGTTTTTGCTTGCAACGGTAGTGTGTTGGTAGTCTGCCCAGCAGAGATAACAGAACATCCGGGTGCGTCGGCCTCGGAGGCGGGTCGTAGTTTGGAATCGCTTCAGGGCATTAGGCGCGCTGCGCTCGCGGCTTCCTCTCAGCCTGAAGTCAGTTTATTTTTCACTAAGCCTGCTGCCGAATACTGCTCCCAGTGCGCAACTTTATTGCGCAGGAGATGGCGCACAACAGGGAGCGGCAAGGAGGCGAGTCCGTAAAGGTACTCGGGGAAAGCGAGGTCCACGGAAGGCTACAGGAGGGCCTCCAGCAAAGTGATGCCGCTGCATCTGAAGCGCCGACATCGGAGCTTGGAGGTCGCTTTTTGTCTCTGGACAGCACTTCCATGAAGTCCGTTCCCAATCCAGCTGTTGGCAACAGTGAAACTGTGGCGTCTGCATCGTGTCCACCAGATGTACCTGATCCAAGCAGCAATATGCGAATTCCCCCTTCCCATACATTTGTGGTTCACACAGCTCGGGCGGTAGATCCGCTTGTTGGAGAATTGTTCATATGCCCCCATACGCTTGAGGCCTTGTGCTTGCATCGAATGCTCGGCCTTCCTCTAACGCTCGTGTGGGAGCCTCTCCCACCCCTTTCCCCATATCCTCACATCTATTTGCCCGCAAGGCAGTCGTGGTGGTTCTCAGGCAGCGTGGATCCCCTTCTTCCCGCTGCAGTAGATCCAACCACCGGCAGGCTCTTAAGTGGCAACAGGCTTCTGGAAACACTCCGGAGGCGCTGTACCCGTTCTAAAGAAGCCGATGCAGAGTCAGGGGACCCCCAACTCTGTACCGAAACTTCTAGCATAGGCTATGCAAGTCAATTCAGCGAAAAGGGGAGGCAGGAGGACATCGCGGGGAAGATCGATTCGCCTGAACATCCCATCTGCATAGGCACCTGCGACACCCAAAGTTCTGCTGCAGTAGAACAAGGTACTCAGATCGCCACCATTGAGCTCGTGCAGCAGGCTGTACAGTCAGCTCTAGTAAGTGCTTACTTTTCAATGACCTTTATCTTCCCCAGCGCTACAACGCAGTGCTATTTCGACAGGTTGTCTTGTGTGGGGTATTCTCCCATGGGTTTTGCCTTCTGAATAGTGTTAAGCACTTGCCCATAGAAGCGATCCTGTTATATAAGTGGTCAGTATGTGCAGCATGATCATCACAACACAACGTTCAGTTATTGACTCGACTCAATATCTGCTGAAGTCCAGCTGTCCCATGTGGTTACTTTTGCAGCGCTTCTTTTTATGGAAGAATGAGGCAACTTTTCAGAATTTTACAAAACCCTTATTTCAGAACAACCTGGGATATATGTATGGGAGCTACTACTGCTGGGCTATGAGGCGTGGCATTCTCGATGCCTCAGTCGCTTGCAGAAGTCCTCGAGTGTCTGCCGAAGACCTCACGCGCCCCTTTCCCAGCTTATTAGGTTCTGGATCAGCCGAAGGTGATAGCACGTTGGAGGAGCTCTTAGTTGTTGACCGACTTCGTAGGGCACTTCGCGTTGTTGAGCACCTACTGCAGGGGCGGCTGTTCTTTGGCGGGTCAAGAGCAGACGCAGTCGACGCAGCAGTGTTTGCGCATCTCGCGATTCTGTTCTCCTTGCCACTCCCAGGTGAGCGTATACTTGTCATCGATCACCGTATTATATGCATGCTACTTGGATTTCGGCTCCTTGCTTAGTGCCTGTTACTGTCCCTGGGAGTTTTCCGTAGGCGGGTATGTGTTTTTATGGTTAAATATCCAGGTACCGTGTAGAGGAACTATTTGGCTTCATAATTTACCTCATATGGACAGTGTACTAGAGACTGCTGAACAGTGTGTCTTGCTGTATAGATTGCCGAGAACTTCAAGCGCTTCTTTCGAACTATGGAGCCTTGCTTCAGTACTGCCACAGGGTTCAGCAAGTCCATCGGATATGGCCATCTGGACCATCGTTCCTGTTTGGAGTTTTATCACAGTCTGAAATGGCGTCTGGAACCTTCTTGCGTGTGCACTCGTGGAGGCAGCGACGGGGTGCTGCACTACTAGAAAGTTCTGATGACCAGCAGGACATCGGGACAGAAGGGGAATTGTACCGGTTCTTTTGGTGGCTCGGGGCAGCAGCGTGCTGTGCTGTTATACTCGTCCTTTCTGGTAAGACACCATTGCGGGTTACAACTGTGAACAGTAGTGCCAACTCTGCACTATCTCGTGAAGGCAACGGAAACTCAATTTGGTAGGTGGAGCTTGAAGCTAGGGGTTGTCTTTCTTTCATCTGGTGGCCACGACTTCTTTAGGGGCGTATCTAGCGCTCCTATGAATTACTGCGGCTTTCACCGTTGCCTGCCATGGTGCATACTGGAATGGATGATAGGAAAGGTTGGAAACCTGTGCCGCTAGTTCTGTCGATATATCATTCGATGCCGACTGTAGTGCTCCATTTAAGGGCTCCGTCAGAGGACGCTCGAATCCGGATTCAATGCATGCCCAATAAGCAGTTACTGAGTGCTTTTCCAAAAAACCCTCTTCACTCCGGCGCTCACGCCCTTCATAGCTTCGATGTCAACGGGAATGGACAGCCAGGGTGCGCTTAAATGCACCCCCAAATTACTCCAAGCACTGACCGCTAGTTGCACGTATTACGTTCTCGCACGGACAGAGAACACTGGTTTCTTGTGTCAGGCTAGCAGTAATGTGCAACAAGATTTATAAAAAAACACTGCTCAGTCCCTCACTTATCCTGATCTAAATATAACTACTGCAATAGAAAACGTTCAAGCTTTGTCTGGCATGTTACGCTCACTTTGCCTGCTAGCGTGTGCCCTTGACTCCACAGAAACAGACGCGACTGTTGAAAGGTAAACAGGCAGAGTTAATGTGAAATATCGGCGTGATGGCACAGGTATCATGCATAGAGAATATACTCCACTCGGTTTCCAAAAGAATGAGTGTCTGCCCATCCGGGTCCGAGTGATTTGGCGGGTCAAAGCAGGATGCGCGGACCTATCAGGGACTTAGCGCATTAATGGGTGCTTAGCAGTAGTTTTTGGTACTCCGGCCTCCACACGCGATTTATTAATGAAAGACGGCCATATTATCGTGCGGCGCCAGCACACGGTGCGTGAAGTTTTCCGCTTGCCTATGGACTTTGCGCTGGGGAGCTATTTTTCGTGCTTAAAAAATTTTTGTTCCTGCATATACGATGAGTGAGTATGATTTTTCAGGCTTAAAAAATGTTATCAACACGCCAATCTGTCTATTTCCATACTTTTTCGTGACATACCTGGAGTGACTTCGAGTACATGCAGCTCGGCAGAGAATTACCAAAAATACGATTGAAAATATAAATGTGCTTAAACATATGTATTGAACTGGGCTAATCAATCGTTTAAAGTCTGTATTCACTAGTATCTTGATATAAATCCAGAGTAGTAGGCGATAAGGGGCAAGACAAACACCGACCAGAGGCATCACACGCGACGACCGGTGGTCTCGAGCTCTGCATCATTAATGCCGAAATAGAGGCTAGTCCGAATTTCACTGTTTTTGCTGTTATTATAAGAAATTGAGATGACTGTTGAATTGTATGTGCATATCTTGTTTCCCAAGTTTTAGGGTGCTGTGATGGGCTGTAGCTCTACCCGGTTTAACCAAGAGAGTCACACTTCGATGAGGCTGACGAACACGGCAGCCTCTACTTCCGATGACAATGCTTCAACTGTGGTGCCTCCTCTCTCCTGCCACAGTGTCGGGGATATATCGGGCACTATCACGTTGCAGAACCAGTATTTTGGAAGTGTCCAATATCTTGTTGCTGTCCACTTTGCTCTGCTTGAGGCCCAGCGAAAGCACGACAGCAAGAGCTATTAGCTTGTCCATGACCTCTAAAACTTTATCAGAGGGGCCAGTAAGTATTCCAACCACAGAACCTTCATTTGATACAGAGGCACGAATTCCGAGAGATAATGATTTATCGGGATATTCTGGACAATCGTGTGACTTCCTGAGTCTCATATGCACATCGAACACTCTTGCACCGGAAGTTCCCCAGGTGCCGAATCTGGATCAAAACATCGCGGAGCTTCAGTTCATGCTACAGGACGCTGATCTGGGGCATGCTGCTGAAAGTGAGTTCACAAAGCTCCTTTCTAGGCTTGCTGCTGTTCAAACCAACAAAGCTCAAGGCGTTGTTCAATTGTGTTAATAAAACTAATGCATGCCTTTAAGCGAGCTTGCATCACTATTCCTTTAATTTGGACCGACATAGGCGTTGCCCCCGAAAAGTTCAAGACACTGCGTGGCAGGCTGCTGCTTGCAGAACTCTGGTCGACGTTTTATGGCCAGGACTCTGCCGCCGCATACCCGGTGGAAGACTGGGTTCACCGCTTCTGGGAATTGCTAAGCGAAGAGGGAAATCCTGGAGAAGGTGCTCTTACGAATACTCACAAATCCCAGTTGTACTTCCTACGTCATCTTCTCAAAGAGGAGGACGAAACAGTTGAGCGTACTGGAGGGAACCTACAAGGGGCTCTGCTCGAAAAGCTACGGCACATAGCAGGATTGGCTCTAGGCGGTGATGCAATTGGCCTCCAACCTCTTCGTGAGACCTTGCAGAGAGTCCGTGAACATGAAAGTCCGCCGGTAGGCAGGCCTGCTGGATTGCAGAAGTCCCTGCTGCCCCGTTCTTTGGTCCCCATCGTTGGGACCCGCAATCCTTTTCGTAAGTTTGTTCATCTTTCTCTCACTGCTTTTTGCAGACCTAAAGTATTGTGTGCAGTTCTGAAACGAAATAAGGGTTGTCGGACTCGTTTTGTAGGGTTGCGTGCGTTTGTTGCTTTTTGTGCATAGTCCTCGGACTTTTCTGGAATCTACTGATTGCCTACGCTGGCTTTGACTCGTATTTCGGCAACGAGAATGACGGCGTCACTCTTCCATTTTTTTCGTGGCCAACACTCCTTGTGTCTCTTAATGTGCGCTCAAGCTACCACATGGATGCCATGTGCTCAGTTCAGCAGCGGAGTTCACTTTTGCGGCGCCTTATCCCACTTAAACGCCGAAAACGTCCAGAAACGAGACACAGCAGACGCACTTCGATGCTTCAGTTGTCTAGTCACCGGACACTCTGCGAATTATCGGACCGCCTGATTTCCGCTCTTGGCGAATGTCAGTGATATATACTATGCAGCTACAAAAATAAACTGCGTTTTGTGCAGCCATCCTTATGTCCTCATTTAAGCTCGACTCCTCAGTACCAGTGGCTCAGCATGTGCGACTATGTCCCTGCAGTTGTCGTTGCTCATGTTTCTACGCTCGCGAAAGCCGGAGTGCCTGTGGAGCCAGGTCTTCCTAGTGTTCAGAATATGAAACGTTTACACACTGAAACATGTATGCCTGGAAAGGACGGAAGCATTCACATCCCGTGTACATTTCAGCAGTCAACGCTTGCGAAGAGCAGTCAACACTTCATAGAGCTAGATGATGATCTAGACCACCAGGCGAATCATCATGCTCAAGCAGAGCTTCTCAAACAAGCACATACGACCATATCGGGCTTGGGTATGCTAAAAATGCATGTTATGCAATGCCCACGCACTAAGTAGCAATCAAGATGCAGCCATGGCATTGTGCTCCAGAGCAAAGACAGTCTACGTTCGTGCATTTATAAACACTGCTGAAATGTGTATCTGATCAGGAGCACTGGAATGCAAGATGAGCTCGTGTAGGTTCACGAACGTCCTCAGGACAATCCCTTCGGTGTGCCCTCTTACTTAGACAAACGCTTTGACCCCGGAAGTTGTCTCCATGTTATTCTGTGCTGTATGTTTGAACTCGCTGAATGGACAGATCGTGGCAAGAATTTAGGAAGTGCAGACTGGGGGCTGCAACTACGTGCGGTGGATCCAAAGGTCCAAAAAGGTATATTGAAAACTTCAGAATAAGGTGATTATAGGCTTCAGTGGGTATTAGAAAATTCACAATGTATCAGTTAGTGCTTGACGTCTTGTGTAGGAAAGGAGGGGGCCACGGAAAGACTAAATTTGGCAATAGCCACAATGTTCACAACTTCCTCGCTCGACTCCGGTAAGGCCATCAGCCGTCTAACACGCCTTGCACTGCTTTCAATAGCAGTGGAATCTTTGGATCACTTTTTTGGCAAGTCAATCTGTGATATGTGCATGCAGCGTCGAGCTTTTGGCTTGCCTTTGATCGACGTACTGCGAAGCAGGCCATCAAAGAATTCCGAAAGAGTAATGCCTTTTGCGCATGTTTAATTACAGATAAGATTGGCTTACCCACTATAGTATGGATGGCTTCCTGAAAAATCGATTGGAAATATTTTCACAGTCGCCACCACGGTGCGCGTCCCAGAGGCTTTCTATGGTCCAGATCTAAGCTTTACGATAGCAGTTCCCCTCATCGTGCGCAAATCTTTGTGTGCCTTTTAGATATTGTCAGCATATTGCGCTCCGTGAAGCTCGATTACCTTGCCCAACTAGTTCTAAGTGATCACGCCATTGCACTTCCACATGAAGAGCTCCAAGCTGCTCTTGACAGCCTACAGGGCCTTGGGAGGTCGACAGATGGCATGAGAGCTCAATTGGCTCTCTATTCGATTCGTGAGTATATTAGAATGTCTAGTCAAGAGACAATTCATTGAGCAGCAGCAAAAAGCATGTCTTAGCATTTTCTAGTGCGTTGTGGCTTCCGAAGTCCCCAATCTCTCCGAATGGAAAAGCCATGAGACTACCCTTCTGGCATCAATTAACACAATGTTCCCCGATAAAAACCGCGTGCTTATGCTTTCCCTTGGGGATGCGCCTAACGTGCAACACCAATCGGAAGCATCTCCGCCAGTATTTCCCGCAACGCAAATATGGGTTTTTGCCTTCCTCAGTGAAAGCCAAGGTAAATTTCGGCCCCACGTTTCGCTGATGTGCAAACCACAGGCATACTTGAGGGCCTTGTTGAGTCAGACCCCTAAGAGTGTCTCGCGACAAACGAAGTTCCTGCTGATTGTTGTTCAGGCTATCCGCAACAAAAGGAAATTGTTCTTCGAAGCCCTATGTGGGTCAAGATACTTTATTCCCATAGTTATATTCCCAGATTTGTGCGAAATATGTATTTCAAGTTCACTGCGGGAGCTCTAAAACGAACAAGGGAACAGAGAATTCAAATTGCGAGGAAAGGTACGTATCAAAGCTCTCTGTCTTCCAGAATCTTGACACCTGTCGTTGTATAAGATTCTCTTAGGAGATGAATCCCTTGGCAAGTATTACATCTACCTCCTAGCTATGCGCACTGTACCCCGTGTTTCGTCGCAGTGCTGAGGGAGAAACTTCCCGCATCCTTTTTCCAGAATCTCTTTTCTCCTTTCAAATTCACTGCACACAGTGCGGCCCTTATGCAAATAATAAATTTCCATTCTATGAAACATGACGAATTTGCCGGAGCACTTGAAGGGCACGTGTCTAAAGAAAAGTCAAGCTTAAGACACAAGTCTGTTGCAGCCGGTATGGACGAGCAAATTAAGGCGTGGGCACATCATGGGTATGATTCCGCCTTGTTGACATCACACAAGGACTTCTTGACATTTGAAAGGGCTTGGAAGAAGATCGATCTCAAGGATCTCCCACTACCGGATCTAACAGACTGGTGGATTCGCCTTAAGGCACTTGTGACTGCAGGGCTTGAGGCGTATTTGGCTGAAGAGAAACACCTTGAACCTTTTGATGACAATGTGTACAAATTGGCTAGCGATTCACTTCGCAACGTCAATTCAGATGGAAACCAAACGATGTTTTTCACGAGGGTTGCCCATCGGCAGGAGGAGGGTGCTCTCCGTCGCCTGTGGGGAAGTACGAAGCATGCGCTCCTTAAGCTCCTGTACCGCTCGCCAAGCAGGATAGACGGCGTGTGGTTTGGCGTGGCAGTTGATTTTATGGGGCTAATATCGCTGCTAAACCAGGTTAAGCACGTAATAGAGTCTGAGTCAAGCGTGGGTATAAAAATAAATTTTGAGGAGGCTCTGTTACGTGAGATGGAAGTGGAACTTCGTATTCGAGGGACAGATGTTTCTCGAGTGCCTCTACTTGTCAAAAGAAACACTGGAATGCTGGGAGTGCGCAGTGACTACGGTGCTCTGTCGGACGCTGAACGTGAAACTGAGTTCCAAAACTCAATGTGTCTTGACCATTGCAGAAGCCTGTGGCAGATGGCCCTGGTCGCGATTTTACCTTCGATGCTGCGTCCACAGATGATGCAACACTATGAAAAGTCTTTTGGTACGGAGTGGGCACTAAAGCATCTCTCAGATCCGGCTCTTGTGAACTCAAGTCGTATGATATTAAAAAGTGATGCGGCCCTCAAGTTTTTTGATCATTCAACTCCGAAGGAGATTCACGAGGAACTAAAGGGTCTACAGAGCGGGCAAGCCGTGATGTTTGCCAATTATATGCTGTTCTCATCCCGTGCTCACCACCATTTGGGAAACCAGTATCTCGGACTTCACCTACAGCAGCAGGCTCCGTTTATGGGCAATATGATCCTAGACTGGATTGCAACCAGGAGGAGAAACGCCATCTCTGCTATTGTCTCTTCCGTAGTCCTTACGTTTATCGGAGTTTATGCGCTCATGAGCTTCTTTGATATTTTGCAGAACTTGACTATTTCTGGGACAAGTCCTCCATTTGATTGCGTGTGGAATCCTGTATTTCAAGACATGGCCTGCAATCCCGTACCTGGTGGTTCTGCACTCAATACAACATGGCTGACAGCGCTCAACCAGGTCTTCCTCATCGGCCTTTTCGCAGGGACATCCGGCTCCATGTTCCATTTCCTGACAGTAAAGTCTGCTATTTCCCTTGTTGTGAACCAGTCCAAGACTCTGATGCGCCTTCAGATGGCCTTGGGCTCGGCTCTTATGCGGCTGTTTAGACGGGGAAAAAGGTCATTCACAAGGATTCATGAATGGTTCCAAAAGCGGAAAGCTTTGAGACGCTTAATGCTTAAGCGCGCCATGATTGGCCAGAAGACTGGCTCACGGGCGGATGAAATTGGAATGTTAGGTCCTCCACAGATGGCAGACCAGGTTCTTGACAGAGTGGTTAGCTCTGGTCGCCTTGTGATCTCGCGGAGGGCTGCAACAAAAGTTTCGTTGCGCTAATGTCTTTGAAATAATAATGCGTTGCCACCGCTGTTCTCAAGCTGCTGATGCACTGTCAGACAAAAATCCTGACGGTGTAACCTTGCAACAAGCGTATGTACCATGTATCTTTTCGAGCACGTCATTAAATTGTAGTGCCTTTGCTGTTGTGGTGTGCAGTTATTCGTGTGAATGTGGCTATAATATGGCTGGTATGACTCGAATTTGTTTACCAATGGTATTACTGGCGATTCGTTACGTGATTGTAAGCAATAAAGGTCTTTGGCCAGAAAACCGCTTGACTGAATTATATATAGGCACTTCTAAGTACAGTATTGTATCACCATAAAGAGCGACGAACGCACGCATATAGCCCCACTGAGGAGCAAGCAGTGTATTGTCAAGCTGTGGTAAACTGGTTACGCTAATCATGTTGTAACTAGGGTTCCCTGTTTTGAAACTTTGCCACTAAGGGGAGAGTGTAGCTGTAGGGAACAATAAATGGCAGTTGCAAGATTTTGCCACATGGATCGCTATGAAGGAGCTTTTGTGCAGCAATCAAACCTGTACTCAGCGGTACACAGCTGGAGTCATATTTTTTCACCGGTGGTTCTTAATACTAGTGATCGGACCCTACGTATGCTGCGAAGGAAGTAGCTGATCTACAGCATATCAAATGACACCATAAGAAGCGAACGAATGGTATAGTCTTTGTGCAGGTGAGTACCAGGGTCATCCAGTAGAATGATTCACCAGTTGCCTGATGAGCAGCTTATTCAGCTGTCCAATCATGCGCAAATCATAAAGTGGAGTATCAAGAGTGTGCCAGTGCATTAAGTATCTCCGTGTCATGTAGGACACCGTGTAAAGGGTATGTCAAGCTGTGACATTTTGGTGCTTTATGGTGAAAGGCTTGAGTCAATTACATCGCGCCAACGTTATATGCTCTTTGTGCTGTGGTCTCCAGTGTAGTGAAGTGCAATGACTCTCCTATCGGCCATGCAGCTCGCAAACGGCTGCGCCAAAAGTGGAGTTCTCTAAGCCTATCCTCATTCCAAGGATCATATCTGCTCTTCTCCATTGGATCTTCACGCAGAATTACAGGTGCAACCCTTCTTTTTCAGTGATGTCGCAAACCGTCGCGATAAAGCTCGCATCATGGGGAACTCCCTGGCTTAAATCCTTAAAAAACAAAAACGAACATACTGAAACAACGCGCTTTTGCTTTGATTCTAAGAGTTTTCAAGCAGCTTACTCCAGCACATGCTTTTAATATGTGGAGGATTTTTATTGCATTTTGTTTTGGAAAAAAAGCTTGCAAAACTCACTACTAGGGTATCCAGTAGTCTTGATAGGGGGATTTGAATGCAATCATCTTTTTTTGAGCTACCCTTCACGAGGAAAGGATGCAAGAAATCTGGAATGCTCTCAAGGCGTATTTGTTTGTGGGGGCAGCTACCGCGTAGCACTGGATCCTTCGACCCCGTTGCTAAGATATCTGTAGGTGCATTTGCACTGCGTCGGAAAGCTTCCAAGATATTCATCCTGCAAGGCTCTAGAGGTGCCTGCAAATAACGAACTACATTTACTGAGCAGCTACATACGCTGTTTAGCAGACTATATGCCAATATCTTCGACTCGAATGCATACAGCTAGACTACGCCAACGAGTTAAGGAGATGCGGCCTTTCAAGTTGCAGATGACGAAGCAATGACGCTTGTTCATAATTTTAGGAGGCACAGCTTAATAGGAGGTACGGCCTGGATAGGGCCAATTTTAGGATATATTACAGCATATTGTGAAATGGAATAATTGCTTACCCATATAAAATCTACAAGATCTGAGATCCGTAAATGTCTTTTGTCCAGCAAGGTCAGGATTTTCAGAGCACATCTTAAGTGTTCTAGAGGCTGCAAATAGCACATATGTCAGTGTGAGTTACAATAACTCTCCATGGGGCGTGTCCTTGTAGCATCGGAACAGAAAATCGTGCCAGTGTCCTGGACAGTGGCAAAGTGTGTGCTCAGCATCGCCCTACAATATCTGCCGAGCGGATATCAAAGTTGTCCCAAAGAATATGTTCCACAGCTTCGACTGAAACAAGTCCGCGTTCGTCGACATGCTCCCTAAGGACCAATGTATAACGAAGACAAGCCAACGGCATTTGTGCAGCAGGGGTGCTATCATGTTGGCAGCCGTATTCGTGTGCTTAGCTGTGCCTTATGCGCCCACTCCAGCGCTGCCTTGAGAGCGATAAATCCTAAGCAGCCTTTTGCCTTTCTGATGGCATCGCGAAGTCGCTGTTTAAAGGCCTGAAGCGCCGGTTGCACAACCTGAAAGAAAGAGACAGGGAGCCTCTGATTAAAGAGTATTGTTCATTCAAAGTACAACTTTTGCTTTAAGTGTAAATATAATCATTAGCCTTCCCACGGAGCCGTGATGACAGCTAAAAGTCCAAAATCCATACTTGCGTTGAAGCCGGGCAAAAGGCGCCCTTGTTTTTCCGCGCTTCTTCTACAGGCGCTAGACACTCTCTGTCCTTGCAGCGTCCCTGCGGCAGAATTGTAAAAACCTTGGTGAGCATCAATTGTATGCAACCTATAGCTGGTGATGAGATCAGCCCTTTACCACAAGTGCCCCTACTAGACCATCTAATACTAGTCAACTTACTCCTAATGAATAGTTCACTGGCAGCGTGAAAAGGTTATCCTTTGCAAAGGTCTTGCGTTCCGTAAGTCCGGTCTGTTGTACACTGGAGCTGAGCGTGCAAACAGTATTCAACAGTTATTTGCACAATCGAGCGCACACAGTCCAGCGCCTGAAGAACTGGGGGCCTATGTAAGAGATGCATAGACTTACCTTGGAGCGCTGGCCAGTTCTGTCCAACGGCTAACGAATTCCGTGTTTTCTTGAGGTCTGGCGTTGAGCATCTGAGGATATGCATCACAGCCTCACAATGGGGGCACTTGATGACACTTCAGGCCCAGGTCAAGAACAGAATACAGGTTTGGATGCTGCCCGACACTTACGCGGCAGCTCTTTTTAATCTCACATACCCACAGAGATGCTCAGCGAGGCTTGCAGTAAAGAAGCAACAGTGGATGTGGTGCATGCTGTAGCATGTCTTTCACCTGTTCAAAATAGCGATTTGCCTTATCTTCTGGTGTCATGAGCTTCGTGGATTCACTGCTAGACCCCTAAGGGAACAATCCCACAACTTCATAATGTCCCCCTTAAAACCCAAAGTCTAGACTTCAGTGGACTCTAGCCGTAACTAAAGTATCTTAAGCTTAATTTTACCTGTGCATGTGATTGAAATGCGGTGATTGCGAATTGTGAGGTGCCTCACGAAGAACTTAAAATTCGCAGAAGATTCGGTCTCCTTCGCGCACTCCTCCACGGTAGTTTGCTCAAGGGCATCCTGAAATTGCTCCACGCACGTCGCTTAATCAAAACCAGTGAAAGGCTGTGTACCAGTATATTGCATGAGGTAGCTGTCCCAAGTGTGCATGCGAGGTGTCCTCAGTATGTGCTCGTAGCAGCGCCTGATTAGTTACACATCAAAGCTTGCTGATTACTAGGCGTACCAATTAGTTTGTTCCCGGTTCGCCCTAATACCTCTGTCAGGTATTTTGACCAGCTTGAACACTTACTCTGTGTACATTTCGCTCTTTGAGGGCAATCTCTAGTGCTTCTGCATCGAGTGCCTTTGCACGGAACATACAGCTTTCGCGTACGTGAGCGGTCAATTCTTCTATTCGGCGGCAGGTAGGTGCATGCGGCGTCCTCGCGAGCTGTTCGTGTAACTGTCGAGCTTGCGGGTGATCACGGCGCCCTGCACTGGTAATGAATGTTTCTGACGCTGGGTACGACCGATCGCCCATAACCCGCTTGAATGTGTCCAAATGAGGAGAGCTGCAGAGCGTAGAAGAGTTTTGGAGCAAGTGGAGCTGAGGCTAACAACCCTAGTACGCAAAGAGGCCAGCAGTGCACTATCTTGCCGCTGAGAGAAATACTGCATTTTTAACGTGAGTAGCACTCTGAGATTGACCCAAACGACTTTTCGCGCGTTTCGATCTCCGTGCGAATGACCCTACTAGTGGATTACGTGCGAAGGAGTGGTTTTGTGTTACCTGTCTAGATGAGTGTGGCCGGAAGCATCACGGAGGACTTCTTCTTCCAGCCAGTTCCCTATAAGAGTTCCATGCCCTGTGGCAATGGACTTGTTATACGTTTGACAGTAACTCATTTCCTAAACTAAGCCTTTTAATTCTACCTGTGGGACAGATTATTGCCACCGGTGCGTAAGCAGGTGGCATTCGGGCCGTAGATAGGCCTGCCTCCCTCCCTAAAGCCTTTCCGTCCTATTCTAATTACACGAAAGCCGTAGTGTAGTACAATATGATCGGTTACATGGTTGTTTGTATCGCCTTCATCGGTTCGCACTTGCTGCACGCTCCGCGGATGCACCAACGGATAAAGGGGCTTTAGCAACAATGCCATTGCTTTTGCATAGTAAAAAGGCTTGTGGATGAACAATAGTAGCGTTTCACAGCTAAAGCGCTACACTGATTAAACGGCTGTGGACCGCTTGATGCGCCTGGAAAGGAGTACGTAGTCCGTTGGGGGTCACTTTTGGACCGACAAGATGTGAAGGAGGCAAAGCCAAATGAAAGGTGGGTAATAGCCTTCCACCCGCCTGATACTTTAACCATAATGGAAAAACTAAAATACGGATAAATGAATTAAAGCTGGACTTGCGTCCCCCTGAATGAACTTGTTCGCGTATTTGTTACGTCCCGCCCCACATTCAGCCCAGCTGTTTCTTTGTGCGCATGAACCTCTAAGTGCAAACCACGAGGCATGGCCGGCAGCATGTAGCCATTTTAAAGTGCGTTTTGGTGGAAAGGCATATCAGAGAACCCACCAGAACAATGAATCGCACCACATATCTGGCCGGAGACTCATGTCGTCACCATAATCAGATGCGAAATTGTTCGAAAACAAGATGCTGATAACTCATAGGCAAGAATTCGTCCACTTGTAACTGCTACTAAATATGAAAAGCAGTTGCTAATTTCGTCTCCTGCCGATTTTCTCCTTTCAAAAAACGATGCGCACCGTGGTGTCTCCTAATGTTCAGCATAGCACTCACCGGCAACATTGAAAGGCCATTTGCAGTCCAAAATAACAAGCAAAAGCGTGTGATTAGGAAGAAAGCTTGTAATTATGGAGCCTCGGTATATTATTCTCGTACCGATAGAGTCTTCTGTGCAGGTCTTAAAAAGATCTATTACCAAGCGATCCGTGAAATAACTCTCCACTCCGTCCTTTCCACATTCAACGTATCACAAGGATGTGAGTTGCGAGTATGAACTCAATATCTCATATTTGCTCAAACGTTTTTACCGCTGAAGCACAATGCTCAACGAGTACGGTAAGATATTGCTGCAGCAGATCGAGCAGCAGCGGCAACAGAGACTACGGCAGCGAGCCGAGGAGCGAGGGCTTCCCATTCCTTCTGAGGCGCAGCAAGGATCTGTAACAGCGGCTCCATTAACCCAAGTGGCCTGCGCCAGCTCTGAGTTCGTTCCACCTTCTGGTTCCAGGGGGAGCAGCGAACCCCCGGTCAAAGCTCAAGTAAGCCCCTACAGTTGGCACACATTTGCTGCAAAACTTCACATTGCTGGAAAAAAACATCTAATGTGTCTGACTTCAAATCCGGTGCATGACTCCTGCTTTAACACCGTTCTTATGTCGCAAATATGCACTGCTGCCCTAGTAATGTGTTCGTTGCGTTGCATATGCCTTACAAAGATAGGGCATAAGAGCTTGCACGAGCGTGTGCAGTATGATATAGCCTAGTCCCTTGGGTTACATCTCAGCCCGAGAAAGCGAATACGGTCATACAACAAGCTGCAGCACAGCACAACGTTGACTTGGCCAACGCGATGCAATCGCTAATAAATATAGCTCCGCTACTTGTTCATCGAGTTCCACCGCAAACTGCACCTACCGATGGAATCATTCCAACACCTTGCATACCATCTGTAGTTTCTGCTCCATTGATGAATCAGCAACCCGTCATTCTCCAACCTACAGCTCTTCTACACCCTTCTGTTTATTCCATGAATCCACAGCAGCTGCAGCAACCGTCTAAGAACCTTGGTAACGACTTTCAGACTGCTTGTGCCATTCGCGAATATGGTCAGTCAAGCAATTGCAACGGCCTTCCCGCATTAATGATGAGAGCCTGCCAATTGCTTTTAAAGTATAGAGGAACGCTTGAAAAGCTTTCTAGGCCTATCAGGGGATGACGCACATATTTAATCACAAGCAGCCAATGGCCAATCCATATCGTAAATTTGCACTGTGTGGGGCTGGATTTTGTGCAGATGTATCATCTTCCCATATCCCATTGTCGTTCAGCGGAGCGCCCAGTAGTTCTACCAAAGTTGGTGACCCTGCTGTAGCAACTGGTGGTGTATGCTGTTTGTGCCCTGGGTAGAAATCCTCGCTACCTGATTCGCATTCTATCTGTCATACATGCTTGCAAGTTTTCATATTCAATGCGGGCAACTACGAAGACTGTTCAGCTTCACATGCTCAAACGGTGCTCCACTGTAAAGTTGCAGTACCGCTTAAAATTTCCGTAGTCACCTTGCTTCCTATGAATAGCGTGTCTGCCCCGGGACGCTGTACGTGCTTTTCTTAGGAGGTTCCACGGACCGAACAAGCCTATGACACAGTAAAACCACCTCAGTTTGGACCTTTAATTGGCGCCACCGATGTAGACATTAGTCATCAGCGCGTTCAAACTGCCAAAAAGCGATACCAGGAGGATCTCCTCCGGCAGATGAAAGAAAGGGAAGCTCAGCGTGAGGAAGAAAAGGCTAGACGGAGACGGGAGGACGAAGAAGAGCTGATCCGTCTAAGCAAAGAGATAGAACAAGAGCGGGTATGTCTGATTTCCAGTTAGACCATTCCTATTTGCTCATTGGTCCCAATAGGCTTACTGCCGTCGGATAGCTTCTTCATTAACATGCTGTGCATGCATCGTGGTTCTCCCGTAGCTCGAAAAGGAGGAGGAAGAGGCACGGCAACTCTGCAAATCAAAGCAGCTGGCTGCGGCTAATGTTGCCGCTGCCGGATCACCGAAGCAGCAACGATCTCATCAGCTTCAAAACTACAGTTTGGAAAATGCCATTAACGAATCAAATCGTCAAGCGCCTGCCAGAACCAGATTACTGCTCCGAGGAGAGGAATTCAGCCAGCCACAGCAGGAAAGCACTTTGAAGCATGGGGATAGCTCATTTTCGCAGTTCTTCAACGATACCGTGGCGGAGACGTCTGGTTCATGCTTCGATAAACCTGGCCGACGAATGCGTGGGGCTGGAGCTGAAGCTGAACAGCTTCTAATATCAGATCTCGAGCGTCTCAAGGCTGAACTGAGGGCCCAAATAGAAGAAATGCGGTGCCTACAATTTCAGCAGCGTCAGGTCTTGCAGCAGGTAAATCAAGAAAACGCTTTACGGAACTCTTGTAATGGATGCTGTAAGCAAAAGTGGACACCAAATGCGGTGGATGGTCCCGCTAGCAGCTTATCGGGTCATCCTTGGGCAATGTCTGTTCCAACACAAACGTCAATTGAGCAGCCAACACTCCGAAACCAATGTGCTCAAATCCGACTAGCTCTAAAAAATGCAGGGGTAACCGATTTAGATCATTTAGTGCTGCGGCTAGCGGAGAGCACGGCCGCTCCCACAGGCTACGATGCTGCCAGTCGTGATACAATTCTCTTTAAGCAGGACACTGGAGAAATAAATCCTGCAGCATATAATGCACTAGCTCCAAGAGCTCGACTGGCCTCTGTCAAGGAGGATGGTACATTGAAGGTGCATCACTGCAACCCAGTGGAGAATTCATTTTCACATGGCATGCAAAAAGACAGCGGTCGCTCATTTCAAATGGATGCAGCAAGCTTCTCCCGACAATCAACAAAAGACAAATGCTCCAATGATAAAAGAAAAGGCTCTTCTATTGGAGACCCGGAGGAACGTCCACTACCAACTCTTCTAAAGCTTCAACAGCAAGGGGAGCGTGACCAGCGTGATGCTGTTCTACAGCAACAGTGCACAAAGATACAGCAAGTAGACAGACACCTCAAGGGCAACACAGGGGCACCCAACCACGAGCCCCACCCTGACTCACAAGAAATCGATACAGGCTGCAAACGACATGAACAGCAACCGCTTCAATGCATGACTGTCAAGGAGACCCATGTATGCAACACACCAGAGAGCCCTCCTGGCCGAAAGTGGCAGCTGAACAAATTGTGGGCCCGATTGTCTCAAAGTGTGCCTCCACCAGCACAAAACCACCCTAGGAGACGTCGCCCTGATGGCGAGGACAACTATGTGTGGTCTCTTAGCAGTAGCTGGTGCACTAGCGACTGCGAATCAGAGCTTCCTTGTCAAACTGTCTTCTTACCCTATGATTCCGGACTCAGCAAATCGCCAAAGGAGCTGGAGCAAAGTCAAAAACATTTGCCGAGGGGAATTGATACCATGGCAAAAAACGGTTGGCTTCCAGCTAGCCAAATGGAAAGCCTAGGAATATCCACCGTTCAAACTGCGACACCGGAAGAATGTAGCCGCCTGACTAAGCCAGCACAAGACTTCTGCATGACACGCCTCTTAATGCTCAATGAATGCCATTCCTACAAGGGGAATAGAGCTCAACAAGAAAATGCTGGAACCCCAGTAAATATGGGAGACCAAGCAAGCCGGCCCAACCCCTTTTTGCTATACCGGGAGGCCCAGCCGACAGTGCCTATAACTAACACAGATTGCGGATCCAGCATGAATACTATGGAAGAGGGACTCTTCTGTGGAACGGATTATCGACAGCTATGTAGGGCACTAAGCGTCAATAGTGCGCCTTTACATCTCCAGCATCTCCATAAACTTGACTGCCAAATTCGCCAACAGTACAACGCTTGCCTATCCCCCAAAGAGAGAAGCTTCCGCCACCTCCACGCCATAGCAAACCAGCAACGGGTTTATGAGAATTGTCGGAGAGGGGCGTCACAGCAGCGTGCTAAGGAACGATTCAAGTCGAGGCTTTCATGGGAAGCTGATACTGCATTTCCTGTCGATGAAGGTTCCCCCGCTCTGTCACACGTGGTGCAAAGACAAGTCCACACCTTTGGGCCGCGTCCTTTTGCACCACTTCTTGAGCGGCCTCTAGCCTTTGCTACTGACCATGGGGACGGAAGTAACAGAACAGGAAATCCTGAGTCCTTTAAACCCACTCCCTCAAAACCACCCAACAAGCACGTGCCTCCTCCACCAAACCATAGTCAATCCTTATCATTAAGCACGTCTACTAAGAAGCGAACGCGTCTTAGCCGAGTTCTTGGCGGTATGCTCCTACGGAATAGCTCAAAACTACGCCAGTAATTTTTTTCTTTTCAGCTTCAACCAATGCTTGGTGCAGGCTACTGTCCTATTATATACGGAAGTCATTTCTGAAGACAGTTTGTTGTCCTCAATGAAGTGTACAATCAATAAAGAATGTTCAGTACATCTGACGAAGCACACGCATTAGCTGAAAGTAATTCCACATTGAACTCTCGATGACTGACCTTGTGCAGCTGGTTAATTAAGAGCTCACCAGTGTCACATCCAAGAGTATGTATGGTAACAAAGTTTGGCCGGTACTTTAGGAGCCATTCTAATCCACCTACTGCGATCTACAGCGCCGAACCTAGAAAAGTGATATTCGCATTTGACGTAAAACGGCAGTCAACAGCCTTGGCAACATCAACAATGCTGACTCTAGAGGCCTCTGCCGAGCTGCCAGGTTCAAGTGTGACCCTCTGTTGTCCGTATGGAAGAAGACATGCGCTACTTGCCTTCCTACATTTTACCCCGATAAAATTACAGAAGTTTACGGTGTTTGAACGCGTTTCGTAAGTCATTCGTGTACTGACATATTCAGTGTTTCACTAGCAATAAAAGCATCGGGCGTCCCAAAGCAACCTTATGAAGGAATGTTTCCCTAGTATTCAAAAGGAGCATGCAGAGCACTGCAGTAATTCGGCCAAAAATGTTAGTCCATTGGCTGCTGATTTGGCGAGCCACCCCATGACTCAGGATACCACTTTGGGAATACACGGCGGTACAGGGGCAGCAACACCTACAAGCGGCACACGCACACAACACACCACAAGGGACATTTCTCCTGGTACTTCCATCCAGTACAAAGAAGGCTGAGCGCGTTGTGGCAGAACCGACGACCCTACATCATAGCTATTCACCTGATATCACCGCATTCAGCTAATCACTGCACTACAAAGGAGATCGCACAATCATGCCTAACAACAGAGCTAGAAAATTTGAGCGCCGGGCTAGCATGCTGATTCATTCATCAACCAAAAGACACCTAGTCCGCGCATTTGTGTATTTTCAACCAATGAATTCTGTTACCCCTGCTACACACACAGAGCGGTGTCCAGAAAGTCAGCTGTGTATGACCGCCGACGTTGACATTCGTCGAACACCTCACCTCGTCGTTCTGTTTAAGATAATCATTAAACTTGCATTTCATGTAGCCATGGGTACCCAAGGGTTCCACAATGTTCCCGCGAAGCCCTTTCTTAGTGTGCAGCTCTATGGGTGTAAACCACCTGCAATGGACACATATTGTTTAAAGCATTGGTCTAGTGAGATTTCAGAAGGCAATACGACATCGTCTGGCTGTGGCTTTACAAGCACAAAGCAGATCACGCGCTTGCTCACCGCACGTCGTCAGGATTGAAAAACATGAATCGGACAACTGCTTTGCGTCTGTGAACCTTGAACGGATGGCCGCTAAGAAGCACGCGCTTGATGATTAATCGGCTGCTCGCTTTATTCGCTGGCAGTACTGAGCCCCAAGCGCTAACGCGCACGCCGTCAGATGCTGTCCAGCCCACAAGACACAGCACAATCCCCACAATATCGATACCAAACACATATGTCGCCGGCATAAGCATGCAAACATACTAAATTAGTACCACCTTATGGTTGTTTTGCTATGGACGTACCCGTTTTCTCGCTTCTAAGCATAATACAAGGTGAGGGTGGAAGCACCAGGGGCGCATACACGGTGGCTGTGAGAGTTGCGCCAGGTTCAGCCCATCGCTTAAGTTTCCACTTCGCTGCACTACGTATGCCTTGCCTAGGCTCTTCAGAATAGATAGGGGATGCTGGAAACCTGCAAGTGACCAATAATGCGAGCATGGGCAAGCACAAATGCCATATACGTACAGGCGTGTTCCTCTCGAAAGTGTCTGAAAGGAACTGCACTGAAATCCAATAAGCGTTATTCACATATCGCGTAGGCTTAGCGAGAAGTGCGCGCGTGCCGTATCGCTTACCTGCGAAATCCGCACGCCATCAACACCGGATCCTTGCCCTTCAGTGCCTCCTCATCACAGAACGTTACTTGTGAGTGAACCACTGCTACCTGGCTCTCATGCTGCAAAAGCTGCGACAGTAGGAGGAAGTCGGGCAACATTAGATCGCCATCTGCACTGGCACAGGGGGGGGGGCCGGTGTTGTTCAGACTTGAGACCGCGAAGCGGTTAGCTAGTCGGCATCCCATTGCAGTGATCAGTGCGTTGTCAAGATCTGAGCCTTCCAGCTGCGGCTGTTGCTGCTGCACCATCTGCCTTAGCACGTATGAGTGACGCAGAGGCAGCCACAGGCGACAAAAGCGGCCGGCGAAACCGGATGACACTTGGCATAGCTCCGCATGCGCGCGATGTGCATAGCGCGCCAAGCCCTGAGACACACAGTAAACAGCTTGCGGCATTTAAAGCGCAGACTTGGCGAAGGATCTGGCACCTACCAAGTGTCTTTCAAGTGCCTCGATCTGCGATTGCAGAGTACCACGAACCCGCTATGCAATGCACAAAAACCATTCAGTAGATGTAACACCAGCAAGTGCTACCTTAAGGCTCGAGACTTCGATGATGCGGCCATATTCCAACGGTAGATCTTCGTTCTTAGCCCATGGGGATGAACGGAAGCTCTTCAGGCCTCGGTACTTCTGGAAGCGCTCTTTCGCAGGGATATCCAGTGGCGTATCCATCTGGACAAACGAAAACTCGTATTCCCACAACATACTCCCCCTCAACACTAAAGGAGCACCACGCGAACACTCCTTGCGTGAAAAAGTGCTGTCCACAGGAGTAACGTGTTTGGTACCCTTCTCACGACAACCAGACACAACCCGTTACTGCATCTGACATACTTGGTCTGGAAAGTCCTTTTCCATCTCTGCCGCTTCCCGCCGTTGAGTTGCATACGCTTCGCTGATGACAAAAAGTGATAGACCCTTAAGAATTCGAATCCTGAGGGGTGTGGGGCTTGAAAGCAGCATTATACCACCGATGCAAAACACATCCCAATAACCCTGCCCTCACGGCCTTTGGCGATTCAAAAGGGGCAGTGCTATCAGTGCGAAGCAGCGATTTACTTGTCTTCCCTCATGCTGTGTTGCTCTGCGCTCTCAAGCAGCTTCCAATCGTCATCGACGTCGTCAGGTGTGTGCGAGAGGGGGGCGGGCTGACTGTCAGCTGCAGCAAAGATAGACCTAATGAAATTGCACGGCTTTACACGGCGATACGCCAACGCCAGTGTCTACAAAACAGTACTCCAATAATGCGGAGAAATGCGCAGAGCGGCAACTGCAGACTCACAGGCAATGCCATCTTCCACTTGAATTTCGTCACCGCTGTGCATCTGCTCCTCGTCCCCACTGCCGTAATGAGAGCCGTCAGTGTCAGACTCCAGCCAAGCGCGTTCATAATCCCCTACATTCTTGGGAACCCTAACGCGTCTCCTGGAGGGCTCAGACGCTCTATCCTCTCCGCAAATCTCTTCCGCTGTAGGCCAAGTCTGTTCCATGGCAGCCATGTCGAGCGGCTGCAGGGGTTGTGATGCCTCCACTACTCCTGCACCCCGACAGTATACGCATACAAGCAGCCCAGCAGTCCCCGTAACGTGTAAACTCCGTCTCTTTTCACTTCTCAAGACAACAGCCTCCATCGTCACAAGCACTACAGAGTGACAACAGCCTCCATCGTCACAAGCACTACAGAGTGAGCAATTGCGTCCAATAGCCGGGAACATGGATCCTCAAAGTTAGGCCCAGAGTGCGCTGCCACGTTGCCTTACCTTGCAGATCAGTCCCCAAGGTCTCGCTGTTTCGCGCCGCCGAGTCGGCTAGCCCGGCTGGCTCCCGCCGTTTGGGTGCACTAGACTCTATAGCCTCTATTCGCGTGAGCACAAAGTCACCGACACCCGTAATATGCACCGGAAGCCTGCAAAAAAGCACAACCATACCAGCGCCTCATGCAAGCGCTTGGCAGTGCACTGTGAAGCGCATCTACAAGTTGAAGGCAAGGCCACTTCACCGCGCACTGACAGGCGTCACTAGGCAGTAAAAGCGCTCGGCAACACACCGCTGAACCTGAGTGCTCACTTGCATGTTAAGCCAGCCCCACGCACCAATCCAGAAACCTCAAGACACGGCTCGGGTTCTGTTGCAGCATCGCTTGACAAGCGATGCCATGCTACGCGCCAGCTGAGGGCCAGGAGGTGGCCTCTTTGCCTGAAAGCCGCTGCCTCCGCACGTTTACTTATGCTCTTCTCCTGAAGATTAACTTGTTCCACGCTAGCAGCAGCACCAAACGCCCTCAAGACACTGCTCCAATCCGTGGAAGCCCCAACCCCAAAGAACTTCCTGAAGAGCACCCCAAGTATCGCATGTAGAGGGATGTTTGAGTGGAAATTGCGCGTTCATCCGACCAAGAGCGACTGAAAATAGGGGTCAGGGAGCCCCCCCCCCCCTATATCCCACATGCTAAGGTCACTTCCCCCCTCATAAAAGCAGTTCCTCAGCGTCCTCTGGTGCTCTTCACCAGGCGGCACTGCCTAAGGGCCATACAGGGAGGTAGGTGTCAGCTACGCAAAGTTAAAAGGTAGAAGCTGATGGCCACGGTGGGAATCCAACGACGGCTTACCGTTCAGCGCCGAATTCGGACTCGAAAAAGCGCCTCATGAACTTCGTGCTTTCGGTGACTGCCCCTTTCCCTTCCACTGCTCTGCCTGGCTCTAGAACGGCAGCGTCTGTGCAGCCGATGCCAATGACTGAGGGGGGCAGGCCCTGCAGTTTGAGAGCCTTCAGAACCTTGTAGCCTTGTTCGCTGAAGGCGCTGTTTTCGTACGAGCAGTGGCCTCCAAAGAGGCACACTAGCACGTCACAGCTGCTGCAGAGATCCATGTAGCGTAAAAGTTCACTTGGCCTCTCTGGAGATGCCCCTTCATGGTGCATGCTGCTCTCCCGTTCGCTGCCTGAGGCGCAGATGCGGGGGGCAGGAACCATCAGTATCTGCTGCTGATGCTTTTTCGGTATCATAGGGTTGCGCGCGTAGGCGGGCAGCGTATACAAATAGCGGCTATGCTGCTCCAAAGGGGCAGCTGATGATTCCAGCGCTGCGCTGTTGATCGATGGGGGCCCATCCTCCTCCATGGACAAAATCTCGGGAGCCGCCTCGACAGCGGAATTCGCATCATTGCTCAGCAGCTCCTGAGCTAGAGCATGAAACACCTTATCAACAGAGACGGCATCGGAGAAGGGCAGGAGGAGAATTACTTTTGGGGGGGGGCCTTCGCTACTTGCTGCTCGCTTCTGATGCAGATCGCGAAGTTGCTGAAGGCGGCGCCGTTTCGATTGCTGCAATCGACCCGCCTTCGTGACGCCTCTGTTAGCAGAAAGCGCTAGGGCATTTGCTGCTGCGGCCTTTCGCTTTTCCTTCAGGCTCTTCGGCTTCGAAGAAGAACCTTTGAAGGCCTTGTTGTGTTGTTTCAGTGAAGAACGGTGCCGATGCCCCATCGCGTCGTGGGTGGGATGAAACGCACCTTTCTTCTAGAGCACCGGAGGCGAGAGGTACAGTGAAAATGAGCAATCCTGAGAAATAATGACTCTTAGCAACAGTACCATATCCCAGGACCCCACAGCCCCAAGGGTAAAGACCACAGTACCACAGGAGAAACACTGCAGAGAGGCATCGGTACAGCATCAACTCATTAAGGGCTGGTCATGAATATAGATACCAGAATGAAGGCCCTGGGTAGTTCATAAAAGCCAGTACTCTCTGCATGCGCATGCAGAAGACTGCCTCGCCCATGGGCTAGTCGGCCGCGGCCTCATGAGCATCGACCTCAAAGAAGAAATGGACTGCCGCCTGCTAAAGCGTGAGAGACGACGGAAGGGTAAAGTATTACCATCCTCCCTCAGCCTTTTAATTTCCTCTGAACTTCAACGGCTATTAATAGGAAAGAGAATGGTGCTGCCTTTCTCAGCTTTCGATGATAGGGAAACAAGCACATGCGAGCGTCCAAGAAATGTTAAAACTGGACTGGAAATGGTGAATTTGACATGTTGAGTGAATTAAGAATTTGCCATGTAAATTAAGAAAATGTGGGCGTGCACTATCAGCTACAAAAGCGAACGCTTCTGCCTACCAGAAGCAAGCAATGCTAGTCATGGTCTGTGTTGCAGGAGATCCAGAGTTTTTCAGTTCTGTTTTTGACCAGCCAAGCGCAGCTTTCACTCATAGAATGACTTTTTGTGCATACGAGCACCTGCTGTATTGTCCGCGTCCTCCCGGCGCTGTCTACAAGGCTACTTAAAACAGCCATTCGGGATATTCAAAGCGGCACTAACACTCTATTAAGTTTAGGTGTATATGTGGTGCATGGGAAAGTAGGCGCTTTCGCGTAATACTACGTGATGGGTGCCGGTACACTTCTTCCGTTGTGTGCACCTCTGAACGACTGATTTATTCAGAGAGCACAGTAACTTCCACACCAGAGCTCAATTAAACCAATTTGCTAGAACAATATCGAGAAATAGAAAGACGAAGGTTTGGGGGAGGGGAGCTTGACGATCGTAAAAACATCAGTAAAACCGGCTGTTGGGCGTAGTTATGACCCATAGCGATAATATCAGGGCTCTGTGCTACCGGGCTGCCCCACAAGCGTGCGCCGCAGCTGTCGGTTGGGTAATAGCATCGTGGTCTGTCGCGCCGTTTTCCAGTCCTGAGCCTGTATCACTCCACCTAATCTCTGAGACCTCCAAGTAGCAGTCACTGCTAGACTAGACGGAAGGACGTTGGAATCATCGAAATGCCATACGAGGCTCAAGTGCGTCCCAAACACGCACTATAATTCCACACGTGGTCGTTCCGCTGGCATGCAAGTTCCTCCCTCCATGCATTCCAGCATCCGAGGACGACCTTTGTCCTGGAATGGCCCTTACTGATGAGTTCGAATGCTCTCTTGAGCCCCCTCGGCACGATTGGGCAACAAGGTTCCAATGTGGGCTGACTGCGCAAGTGCAGAGATTTTAAACTCAATAACCACTCTGTTGAAACTTCCTGGAATATTTCAAGCTCTATCACAATAAGGAAGCAATCATTTTGTCTCATTTTGGAAACCAATGTTACTGTTTTAAAAAGATACCCTCAAGTACAGTGTCAGTTCCCACGGTTCCTACTCACTGCGCAAGTTGCTGCGCGCCAGGGCATAGTATGCGTACAGTGTGACGGAAGAATACCTCAATCATGTCTTCAGCTGTCCTCTCTTTCTGAAATCGAAGAGTAGGCCTAAGAAATAACACTTAAAGAACTACGGGCCCCGCAATCCCGTTTAAGGGGGCTGAGCACCGCTTTACTACCCTTTAGTACACTAGCTAAATTAGCAAGGAATTGGTGAGAAACTGACATCGGCTTTTCTACTTGTATATTTCTCTATTGCAGAGTACTTCTGGACTGATACGGGATAAGGCAATCTTAAACGCATGTGCGCTAGATGCTACATGCGACTAGCTGCGAATGAACGCATTGTTTCGAGGCTGTGCAGCTACGCGTGCCCTGGCTGTTTCTCTTCCCTCATCTCAAAAACATCGAGGCACTCGGGCAGGTAAAAAAACTTTCCCGGAAAACACTAAGTAACTCTAAATCCAATCCGCATTGCGTTTGAAGATAAATGCCTACCCACGAAGAAGCTCTATGGAGCACTACATGCACCCTAACCTCTCGTATGACAATGAGCAGAAAAATATAAGAACAAGCGAACTAGTGTTGCTCTGGCAAGCTTTCAATGTGTCAACGTGTGTCAGAATTCGTGGAGAATAGTGTAGCCTCCAATCAACTCACACGAGCATCTGTCTTGGGAACTACAAGAGTTCAAAGCCTTGGAATGCTGTGTTCTCCGTCACATGTGTCAAATCACATTCAGCTTAACGATTATAAGAACGCTCCAACGTTTCCGTGAACCCAACATATATTTTACTGGAGTCGATGTGTGCAACTTCTTCATATGTAGACACCCGTGCGTTGGTGCCCTAGCTTTTACGGCGGAATGAAATGATGGACCTCTGTGTGTCTTCTCACGGGGATCAGCAACTATCAAGTACAGCTCCTGTCATTTTTTCCAGCGTACTGCTGCTTAAGCTAAGAAGCCACAGTGTGGGTCCTGTTATTTTTTGTTGTTTCTTATGTACTTTCTGGTACGAAATAGCATTGAATGTTAGTATTTTTATAGACCCTAGCTTGTTTATGCAATGTATCAGCTCGTGTGACTGAGATGCGATACTACGTTTCAGTTTTTAATTGTTAAATGCATAGCCATGAAACGATATTATATTGCTCTCGGGTCACTGTCACGTAGAACCTTACGGTCCACAGGGGTGATTTCCCTTCCGCGTACGGAAAAGCGTGTCTGCCTATCACGGAGAAGGCGGCCTCTTTTCATTGCTACGTCTTGGCTCCTGTCTAACACTGCTGCTACCATATCCAGACGTACTTTGCGTACTGCTGCATTGGCCTTTCTGGTAAGCCTTGACCAGATTCAAAGTGTTTTTGTTCGATGCGAAACACCAGCACTGTTTTTTTGTACTTCTCCTTGCTAGTGAAATTGCAAGATCGTGCCACACGGGAAGCCAGGAGGAGGAAAGCCGAACGTTTCATCGGGTGTTGTAGGGTTATTTTTGCATTACAACAGCCTGTTTGTGGTCGTCAGACCAGTATACGGGGAGCAGCTTTACATGAGGGGCCTTGCATCCTTGTGTAAGAGTTGCACAAAGTCCCTTTCAGCATCGAGTGCGCGGGTTTGGCGCGCAGCAGTAGCGTGTGTTCAGGTAGGCGTTTCCCGAGATAATTGACATGCTGCAGCAGTGGGTGTATTGATGGCGCTCATAAAAGAATCGAATGCAAAGTATTCATGTTGGTGCAGGATACAGACAGGATCTTTGGTCACGTGGGATAGCCGATGATCTTCGTTCCGAGCACCTGCAATCACAAGGCAGGAATACGGCAGTCCGCGCAACACCTAACCATTGCGCAGTACCACTTTTGCAAACCAAAGTCTGTCAAGGCTGGCAGTCTTTTAGGCAATGGCCGTGGACGTGGAATGATCGTATTTTAGCAGTTCAGCAGCACGCGTGCAGCGAGGCTTGACAACAAGTATCCCAAGCGGCGTCGTTCTCGGGAGTTCAAAACAAAGATTAAGTGGCGTGTGCGCAGCACCGTTTAACAGCGCGTCGAATTCCTATTGCCACGCTGGTAAGGCAACTTAGCAGGAGGAGGACTTCTACTGCTGCGAGCACATCTCTTGGAACCGCTTCTCGGAGCCATGCAGGAAGCCAGCGCGTTATGAATCCGACCAAGTCAAAGCTTTCGTTGCGTGTCGATTTGTCGAGAAAGACATACCGCTCTAGCGAAAAGCACACAGGGAAAATGCAAAAAACCGGCTCGCTTGTGCTTCCAACGCAGAGTTGAGTTTGCAGGGCATAGCAGCCGATTCTTTTTGCGTCAGTCGCTTGTCAGGCAGAGGACTACATGCGCACACCCACCTAGAGTAGCATAGGCGGCATATTCGCCTAAGGCACCCGTCCTAAGGGGTGAGAGTGGCTCTGCAAGCTGCTCTTGAAGGGCTAGAAGGACTTCCGCAGCGGTGAGCTGGCGGGGAGCGTCTGCTCCTCCTTCTGGATTGTTGGAAGCTGCATCTGGCGATGGGGGATGAATCCTCAGCACCACGTTGATACTGCCCTCCACAATGCTGCTGATCTCGATGCGGCTTCTATCACGCAAGCCTGGGATTGCCTGCAGCACTCGAAGCCAAACATCCGATGGACGTCTTGGAGGGGTGACCTGTGTTTGTGTCAACTGCAAGCGGCCTTCACTGCTTCTCGTGCCTCCCCTCGGCAAGAAAGCAAAGCCTTTTCAGCACCATACACAAACGCTCTCAGTGTGTCGCATACGACAACAGCAAAAAAGAGAGTCTCGCAGACCTGTGGCAGTAGCAAGAAGGGCCTAGTATATATATCGCCCTTCCTTTTTTCCACATACATATATATATATATACATATATATATACATATATATATACATATATATATACATATATATATACATATATATACACATATATATACATATATATATATATACATATATATACATATATATATACATATATGTATACATATATTTGTGCCATATGTCTTACTATGTGTGAGTCAAAAGCATTTTTTGCGCTTTTGCTCATGTTAGCACTGGCCATGTTTTCGTAAGGCTAGGCCCTAGCGCGACTCTGACCCTCTACGCACCTTCAGGAGAGCATCGATGAGAACTTCTTTGAGCGCTTCAACCCCGCCTGCGGCTGCAAGGGTTGTCGTGTAATCCATGGCGATAGACATGTGCACCTCCACTGTCGAGGGGCTTGCAACGCATTGACGGCCATCCCCTTCATACCCATCGGCGCAGCTGCAGAAGTATGCTCCATTGGTGTTGATGCAGGTGGCTACAGAAGCTGGCGCACAGCTCGCGAGGCCTAAGAGGCACTCATCGATGTCTTTGCAAGCACCGCTGATCACAGAAAGGCAATGAAAACTCGCCTCCCGCGTGAAGGCTGCGTCACTCCTCGGACCAGTAAACGCAAGCCTCCTCTCCCTGCTTCGCAGGCATAGACTGTGAAAGCGCAGCTTTCGCGATGGCAGCAATGTGGCTCTAGCTCTAGCACACTGCTGCCTCTACATGACTCACTTTTCCATGGAATAGCCCTCTCGACAGCCGCACGATCCGTCAGGCAGGCAGTGGAGGGAAGGCAGGCACAAAGGCCGATTGCTCGAGTCAACGCAGCGGCTATCGTAGCTACTTCGACAAATCAGCACAGCAAAGAAGAGGTCTTGACTTTGAGATCCGCCTCCGCAGAAGCAAGCACGCCTCAAACGGAGGTTGAAACAGGGAGGGACGGGGAGAGGGCGCGGCGAGCAGCCAGCGTCTGCTTGCGAAAGAGAATCGGGCATTGTATTTGGTGTCGAAATAACGGGATTTGCAGCAGAAGGAGAAGGAAAAGGGGGGAGGACCCTACCTAGGGGTTGTGTTGGTGGACCTGAAGACGCAACACAAAATCACTCTCTTGCGCTCCCCACTTGAAGCAAAGTGCATGTTTTCTGAGCAGAAGCATGAGCGGGGAGTCGAAGTTCCCGACGCCCTCCCTCTCCCCTCTGTTCGGGTGCTTATGCATCATGCGTGTCTGGCTTTTGACAAGAGGGGAGAGGCTACTGCCTCCTCGAAAGCGGCACCAGCTAAAGGATTGTGAACGAGCTGTTCCTCCTCCCTTCCTTGACCCCTCCTCAAAGCGGGAGATGTCTACCAGGGGGTAACGCTAATGAATACGGAGAGGCAGTACAGACGGTGTCTCTGAGCAGCGCCAGATGACGAGCAAAAAGCCGTAAAAAGCAGTCTAAGAGGAAAAAGCTTACATGCATACGTCTCTACCATCTCCAGCGTATCCGGGCTGTCACAAGCGCAGCATGAGGGGAGCACAACAGAAACACATTGTTTCAAGCCAGCCCAACCATGTCTGGCTAAATTCTTCCCTGTGCGCTTCTTCGAAAAGAGGGGATGGGGAAGCTTTGCCTCGCCTTGTGAGCACACCAGACTAATTTGTGGCAGGATTATCAGATTACGAGCTGCTGCGGCGCTTGAGCGAGCGAGCAGGCGCAAGTGCCTCTGAGAGCTGTCTTTCCTCATAGTGTGCATGCCCCTTGGCCGTGTATTTGCAGCGGTGCTTGACAGCTCCCGTGTTTGCATTGTGGAACGCTAGGCAAGCGCAGCCTTTTTGGAGCACGCATGCCCACCAAGGGACGCCTTCGAAACACACCTTGCAGAGGCAGCGATAGCTTCCCTTGGTGTTGATGCAGATGGCCTTGTTGTGGCAGATTGACTCCGAGAAGGCTTCGCATTCGTTGATGTCTTCGCATGTTGTGCCGTCTCCAGTGTAGCCTTTAGGGCATCTGAGAAGAGTGAAGGACAGAGACACCCCAAAAAGCGCAAGAGGGAGGCTTTCAAAAGAAGCTGTCTTTCTCTGGCGGCTGCCCTTGCGCGCATTATAGTGCCGTGCTCAAAGTTGTACAGCAGAGAGCAAGTCTGCGAGAGAAAATTCAACAGAGACGCTTTTATTGGAGTACAATGCGCAGCATGTCTGTCCACTTGCAAACGCCACGCCTCTTCCCCGTTTCCCTCCCTCCACGACGCCGTTAAATTCGTCTTCTAGCATCCTGATCGCACGTTTTCCAACATCGCCCTTTCCTCTCACCTGCAGACATAACGACCCTTAGGGCCCTCCCATATAGTTGCAACAACGGGGGTGTTCTCCTGGAAACACGCAACAGCCACGCATGCAGCGGCGAAAAACTGGAAGAAAGCGGGGGGGAAGGAGACTGCCTTCGCGCCAAGGCAGCCATTACACGTTTCCACCGATTCGGGGAGCATCACGCAGAAAGGAGTCAGTTGTTGCTGCTCTTTTCTGCTCTCTCCTCCCCGCGCGCACGCTCATAGACAGACACGCAGGGAGGAGCAGCACCAAAAACACCACCCCCCTCCCCCCTCTCATACGCGGCTCGCGTGCTCAAGAAGGCGCACGGAGGAAGAAGGGGAAAAAACTGCACAGCCTCCGCAACCCCCCCTTTTGTGTGTATATGTGTGACACATGGGGACTGCCCGTGTGTTGGCGAGGGCGTAATTACAAACAATACAGACTGCAGCTCCTGGAAAGGCTGCACAGACTTCTTGCACGTGCCTCGGCTTCCGCCTTCAGGCGATCCTCGAGAAGCATCCGATCCGCCTTGCTTCGCCTTTTTTCGCTCTCGTCTTCTGCGTGCTGCTTGGATTGCTGTCTTCTCGCTTCCTCAGCGACTTCTTCTTCGTACGCCTCACACAACGCTATCTCCGCGCACTTGTTCCCTACACAAGCTCCTTTCGGCTGCGAAGAAAGGGCAGGCAGGCACTTCAGAGAACACAGCCGTGAAAAGAGGAGGCTTAGACGTGTCTGCATGAGCGATCCAGCCAAGCGGACCGCCTGTTTCACCTGCAAGACACTTCTGCGCCTTCTACCTGCCCCCATTCGCAAACCCCTCCGCCTCGACGGAAGCACAAACAGCTCACCTCCTGCTGCTCAAGAAGATCCTCGGCAAAGCGATTGAGATGCGGGCAGTCTCCCCTGTCAAATTCATAGCTGCAGTGGAGGCGCACAGACAGGGGGAGAACAAACAGAGCGACGCCACTTATTCAGGACGGGTTGGCATTTATATAGCCATTACTCACACACACACGCTTCATATATATATATATATATATGGCCATTACTCACACACACCCTTCATATATATATAGATAGCCATTACTCACACACCCACTTCATACACAGCCATTGCTCACACACACACTATTCATATACAGCCATTACTCACACACCCACTTCATATATAGCCATTACTCACACACACACACACTATTCATATACACCAATTACTCACACACCCACTTCATACATAGCCATTACTCACACACACACACTATTCATATACAGCCATTACTCACACACCCACTTCATATATAGCCATTACTCACACACACACACACTATTCATATACAGCCATTACTCACACACACGCTTCACATGTATAGCCATTGCTCACACACACACTTCATGTATATAGCCATTACTCACACACACGCTTCATGTATATAGCCATTACTCACACACACGCTTCACATGTATAGCCATTGCTCACACACACGCTTCATGTATATAGCCATTACTCACACACACGCTTCACATGTATAGCCATTGCTCACACACACGCTTCACATGTATAGCCATTGCTCACACACACGCTTCATGTATATAGCCATTACTCACACACACGCTTCATGTATATAGCCATTACTCACACACACACGCTTCATGTATATAGCCATTACTCACACACACGCTTCACATGTATAGCCATTGCTCACACACACGCTTCATGTATATAGCCATTACTCACACACACGCTTCACATGTATAGCCATTGC